TGTGTGTGTGTGTGTGTGTGTGTGTGTGTGTGTGTGTGTGTGTGTGCAAAGCTGCAGCGCTGGCTCAGATCTGCCGGGTTGACGTCAAAGCCCAGAGGGAGCGAGAGCAGATCTCCTGCATCCTCTCCAGCAGCATCAGTGCAGCAGAGCAGAGCCGCTATAGTCTCTCACTGCTGTCAGCTGGTGGGCAAACAGGGAAACAGCGCCAACACAAAAAGACTTTCACAGTGTAACCCTAACCCTAACCCTAACCTCACTACGCCATCCCGCCTCCACCCTCATGCTATTTAGCATCCAGCCTCTACCACGTGCTCTAAGATGGAGAATGAGCTTTACATGTATTAGAGTAGTGACCTTTTATAATGCAGTGTCTTCTCTCCACTCACCCAAACCTCCAGGACGCCCACCACCACTTCAGCTTCACAGACGGCTCATTTTCCTAAGAGCTTGTGATGCGAGTAATTCATTAGCGGGGTAAATGGATCCAAGGTTTCAAATGAATATCCCATTTAAAAGGCTTCTTCCATACACACCCCGGTATCCCACAACCACCTGCTCCTCCGAAAAGGTTCTCCTGCCGCTGGATCTGCAGTGTAATGACGCCCCTCTTGCCTGTGTGGGCGTTAATTAGGGGGCGAGACCTCGTTTAACATAAAAGCACTGTGAAAGAACACAAAGCTGAGAATGTTTCACTCGTTATTCCTCGCGATGAAAAGGCAAAGAAGACGAAAAGAAAGGTGTTCCACTCCAGACTCGTGAAATGAAATGACACAAAGTGTCTACACTTACAGAAATAGAAGAATTTATGAATATGTTTTATTGGTGTGTGTACCCGTGTGTGTGTGTGTGTGTGTGTGTATACGTCCAACAATCACACGCACATCTTGTTCTAACAAGACTTCACTCTTTCATTTCTCACAGGATGCGGAAGTGGCTGCTCGGATACTCCTGGACCAAGGACAGGTACGACTGTTTCCTGTTGTCCTTTCTCCAATAAGAAAACAGCAAAATAATTAAAGGCAATTTAATGTATTTTCAAGTTCAAGCAAACTACAAAGCTTTTACAGGAGCCTTTGAAGCATACAAGGAATTTGCATTAGTTTATTCAAAACAAAACTGCAAAAAAACAAAGTTTTGATTGATTGAAAGAGTCGATAAAGATCTAGATGTTGTTTTGGAATAAAAGTCTTGGGGGACTTTCACTTGGTACAGGCAGAAAATATCTCCAAGCTCACTCCAGCAATATCACACTTTAAGTCACACTCATGTTCTCTTTCTCCTCACTAGGAGCACAGCATCGAGACCCCCCACGGCGTTCTGCACGTGACCCTGCACGGCACGCGAACCACCCGCAGGCCTGCTATCCTCACCTTCCATGATGTGGGTCTGGACAGTGAGTAGCTCTCTCTCTCTCTCTCTCTCTCTCTCTCTCTCTCTCTCTCTCTCTCAGCCTTTTTTTGTTTCTCAACTCTTCACTCGTTTGTGTCTCTTTTTGATTGATTCCTCTCTTCATTTTTTCTTTGTTTCCTCTCTGGCAGGTAAGAGCTGCTTCTCTCCTCTGTTCAAGTTCGAGGAGATGCAGGAGATTGTCAAGAACTTCACCCTGATTCACGTTGACTCTCCGGGGCAGGAGGAGGGGGCTGCTGCCTACCCCGCGAGGTACGACGTCCGCCTTTGTGTAGTCAAGTGTGTGTGTGTGTGTGTGTTGGAATGCTGATTTTCCCCTCATCGTCCTGCAGTGACCTTGAAGAAAAGGGTTCTCAGAAGTGGAAACAATCTTCTGTGGGAGGCTTAAAATCTAATCTCTTCCAAAAATACTCCCCATCTCTCACATCTCCCTCCTCTGCGCTCTCCAATATACGCTCTTGTCAGAGGTTTAAAGAAAATCTTCCCTCTCTTTATGTGCGTCTTATTTCGTCCCACTTCACTTCTCTATCACTCCTCTAACTTGCGTGATTATGTTACAAGCTCGGGAGGATTGTGTTTGGCGTATTGTCACGGCATCTCGGCTGCGACCTTTTAACTCCCGCTGCTGATTCTAGAAATTGAAGCTTATTCTCGTTTGAAATCCCGGCGGATTGAGATGAAATGATAAGGAAAGCGTTTTGTCTTCATGTATTTTGGGTAATTTCTGGTAATTAAGAGATTAATTGTGGTGAGACGATGATGAAAGTGATGTTTTTTCTGTGCTTCCTGTTAAAGTTACCAGTATCCCTCCATGGACACCATAGCAGAGATGATCCCTTCTGTCCTGCAGTTTTTCAAGTGAGTTAACGGTATTGATGTTGACGTGAGAAGAAGCATTTTATTTGGCTCCTGTGCACAGAAGGTGATTGTGCACGATTGTACATGGATCTTCTGGTCTTGTAAGCCATAATAAATACAGATACAGATTTATTTTGACTGACTCCTCCATGCAGCTCCACACACTTTATCTATTCATGTACATACGTGCAGATTTTCTGAATGTGTTGTTGGCTTGTTCTGTCCGCCCGTCAGCTTCCGTACTGTGATCGGAGTGGGTGTGGGAGTGGGAGCGTACATCCTCTCCAAGTTCGCGGTGAGTGTCATCTGCTGTTTTAAGCTCTCGTGTTCTGACAGCCGCTAATTATACTGCACCTTGTTTCATTCGTCAAACAGCAGTTTTCTCGTGTATACTGAGTGAACAGATTTTACATAATCATATCTTTTCTACACGGTGTTATTCATGAACATGTCTGTTTATAATGTTGACGACTGAAATAACCAGAAAACATTCAGTCCTGTGACGCTTTTCTCGTCGTCTTACCATCCGTCTCTCTGCTGCTTCCTCTCTCTCATCAGATTGCAAACCCAGATTCAGTGGAAGGTCTGGTTCTGGTCAACATCGACCCTAACGCCCGAGGATGGATAGACTGGGCTGCTCAGAAGGTATACGTTGCGTCTTCTTTCCTTCTTTCACGACTCTCTTGTGCACATAAACACACCTGGGATTTGAATCTGGTTAGTCCTGATGGGACTTCTCTACATCTATGTAGCTGTGGAGATTACGTGACTCTGTGCATGCTTTGTGTCCCAGGGTAGTATTGATTATGTCGTAGTTTATCATATTAAATATACTAAGTGATGAGCGATCCTAATGATTCCTCCTCCTCTCCCTCTGTAGCTCAGCTCCGTGACGTCCTCCCTCACAGAGCAGATCCTGTCCCACCTTTTCAGTCAGGTACAAAGACATTAATGTCTTATTGAAGTGTATATGCAAAACGCATTTCCAAATAAATTGCTAATAACTCGGTGATTGTTGTGATTGTTTTGGGCTGCAGTCGAACAAACGGTTGTTATTCTCTTGCAGGAGGAGATGTCATCAAACACAAATCTAGTGCAGTCTCACAGAGAGCGCATCTCCAAAGCGTCTAATCTGGTCAACATGGAGCTCTTCTGGAAGACTTACAACAGGTAAACACACCCGCCGACATCGCAAGCGCAGGTATGCTCTGCTTCAAAACAACGGCCGGCATAATCTTCTCTCTTCTTTCCCTCCAGCCGCAGAGACTTGAACATTGACCGCAACAACTCCTTCAAGTAAATCCCCTGCAAACTTTTATGTTTATACTTCATTGATAATTATTTTTTTTTAATATAAACCTCTGAAATCTCTATATGCCACCCTTCCAATCTCTATGTCTGTCCTCCTCAGGTGTCCAGTGATGTTGGTGGTGGGCGACCAGGCTCCATATGAGGAAGCTGCCGTAAGTGTTTGTGTCTAAGATGTTTCCTAGTGGGAACCTGAGCGACTTGGATTCAAGTGTTCTTATATTATCAGATTCATATCAACAGGGAGAGTTTGATGGCAGAGGTTAACTGTTGTTCACCTTCTGTGACCACTAGGTGGAGTGCAACAGCAAAATGGATCCAACAACAACTTCATTCCTAAAGGTAATAAAACCGGAATTCTTTCTTTTTTGAACTGATTTTGTCCCTTCTCTCGAATCACTTACACTTTATGCTGTCATTGATTCTTACACACTTCTTCTCTCCATCCTCCACAGATGGCTGATGCTGGTGGTCTCCCTCAGCTGACCCAGGTAACGACAGTAACAGCCTCTTTCTGACACTCAAAATCGTGGACGTTAAAGCTGCAAAGGGCAAGATTGTCTCGTTTAAACATACCTGTTGAATCAGCCAGCAGCAGGTTGGCCTTCAGCAGAGAAGAACATGCTCTCACTCAAATTTATGCACCCCGAAATAACTGGTGAGTGTACTGATTGAACCGTTTCTTTTCTTGGGGTTTGCAGCCTGCTAAACTGACTGAGGCTTTCAAGTATTTCATCCAAGGAATGGGCTACAGTAAGTTCACTTGGTCTTTTTTTTTAGGGTTTGTCAACAATAAGAATAACGCCATCTTTATCCTTTTAGATGTTGCACATTGTTTCCATTGATTTCTCATTTCTTTCCACCCATCTCTCCACAGTGGCTTCATCTTGCATGACCCGCCTGTCCCGCTCCCGCACCACCTCCCTCTCCTCCTCCTACTCCATGGATGGGTCCCGCTCTCGCTCCCGCACCCTGTCCCAGGGCTCGCAGGGCGGCCAGATGCCGCCGAGCCCCTCCCAAACGATGGAGGTGTCCTGCTGAAGAAAAAAAAAAACGATAGCGAGAGAGTGAGAGTGAGTGAGGAGGGCGAAGGGAAGGGGAAACATGAGGCGCGCCGCTAATGTAGGAAAAAGAGGAATGGGTTACTTATTTGTCACTAATCAACTCCCACCATTTCCCACAAGAGGCAGACTAGGACTAGAGACAGGGAGAGGGAGGGAGGAAGAGAAAACGAGGGATTTCAGAGGAAGAACACAGCTCGCACCAGTCCTTCTCCTCACATCACCCTGCCAGTTGAAAACAAAGTGGATTGTGCTGTACAATGAATACAAGAAGTGTAGACAAGAAGAGATGAATAGGTGGGGAAAGACCTGCCAACGGTCCTCTCTCCCTCCATCTATTGGAGCCTCTGTCAGCCAATAGAGCCCTTTCATTTACACAAGGAGGCCTATAGAGACCGCACACCTTGCTTTAACCAATAGTAATAATTCCGAAGACGGTATTGCTGATGATTACGTTAATGATGATGATAATGGAATAGAAAAAAAACACAGTAACACCTTTCTCTTTATTACACTATAAGCTTAAATATACATAGATAAAAAAAAAATAAACAAAAAATACTGGCAGAGATACTTATAACAATGTGTGTCTACTACTTTTAAACTAGTTTTTATTTTAATTTCTTTAATCGGATTTTATTTACTCATTTGTAACCTTGCCTAGGCGAATGGTTGAAGCTACTGATTGGCTGACAGCCAATGAGAGCCATGATAGTGACCACTTCCTCCTTGATGTTGCCAGGTTGTTCATGTCTTCCATTTGCCCCGTCTATAAGTTCTGTTTTCCCATCGGATTTGTTGATTTGGAGGTGGGCAGGAAGCTTTGTTTTTTGTTTTTCTTATTTTGCTTTCAAGACTCAAGAAGTTGCATGCCTGGAATCAGCCCATATGAATATTGACTGGATAATAATTTTCTTTTATATTCTGCTAATGAGTTGCGTGGATTTGAGTGTGTGTGTGTGTGTGTGTGTGTGTGTGTGTTTGCTGTTTTGTTTCCTTGGGAGCGTTTAGTGAACTTGGCGGTAAGCACATGAGAGACTGAGGGTGTTAGCTTGAGCTATCGTTAACACTAGTCGCACGCTAAATAGTGCTTCCAATACCGCTGGCAGTCCAGCACTGTGTGTCCTAATATCCGCGCTTGCGTACAACAGGGAGCGTTACATCGCTAGGTAGCACGCTAGTATGGATATTGCATGTCAGTGTTAGGCACGGCCAGAAGGGATCACTGTGTCTATCATCTGGGTTGTAATCTCTTAGCCTTGCCCGTGCATGGATACCTCCTAACAAACCCAGCTAGCATTACTTGAGTTCCTGTGCGAACACAAGCTCCTCCCGAGCTACAAGCGGCTTTATTCAAGCAACGGGGTCACGAGAATTGTGTTGCGATGGTTGCGATGTATGGGTGTGTCCGAGGAAGTAAATGTGGGTGCGTGTTTGACGCGCTCCTATCCTGAAAGCACAACAGATGCAGCAAAGAGGGTCCCTTGGAAAAGTTTAGTAATTCAAATTTGAGACCAACAAAACCCCCTGTGACTTATCAATGACAATGTACCAGCCCCTTCACTGCCAACACACTCAAAAAAAAAAGATGAAAAATGATCAGCCAATATCTGCACCTTGAAACAACTAATCTGGAATTGCAGCACATTCTTACTGCCAAAACCAAGAGCCCCGAAAGACGAGGGCGACATTCTGCCATCAGAAATACTGTGAGCATTTATAGTGGATCTAAATTCAACACAAAGCTGACCACTGCCCTACGACACGCAACCATTGGACACACAATGACCCGATCCTTGGAGCGTTTGTGCCAGTTATGTGCACGCATTTCTGTTCTGATGCAGCGTGGCATCTGATTTATTTTTTCTATTACTTTTAATAAGCAGTATGATTTTTACGAGCCATTTGGAGGTTGCTTGTTTCTTTCTCAGGCCGCCTAGCGCTCCTTTCCAAACCTGGTTGATGAAGTAGAGATGGGTGATGACGACAGTGACAAGAAAGTCAGCGGAGGGCCTCCGATTCCATCTGGTATACTTGGGAGATATTAATGATGGCAGTGACAACAGTGATCTGTTTTACGTCACTTCTCTTGTTGCAAACACAAATTGCTGTTTGGATTTGAGCTACAGGGTGTAAATGGCAAATGTGAACCAGGATGCCGCCATGTTTGCACTTGTGTTGCTGTCCGAAGTGCTGAAGTGTAGAATGTAAATGCTCCTCCCAAACTCACGCAACCAGGCATGGGAGCGTCTACCAAATAAGGGACAACGGGTGGAGCTGAGGAAATGAAATTGCCAAATAAGGAATAGGATGGGTACTTATTTGTGGAGAGTTGAGCAGGGCTGTGTGATTGTAAATGCTTGTCCATTTTGTCTCTTCATTTTTACTTTGATCATATTTTTCTTTCCCCTCTATGTTTTGGGATTGTTATTATTCGTTTTTTTTTTTATCTCTGTGAAGTGTTAGTTTACCGTCCCGATGTGCTCACAAGTTAGTTAACCGTGTGTGTGATAGTTCTTGTGTAACTTCTTTTAGCATTAGAGCTGATAAGGGAAAATAGTATAATAAACAATTAAAAAAGATTAAAGGTAAAGAGAATACAATCAATTGTACTTGTCTGGCTAATTTTCTGTGTATATCACAATGAACATCCTAAAAAAAAAGCAAACTTAAATATTAATAAAAGCTTAAGAGTAATATCCTGTCTCCTGTCTTACATTGTCAATATGAGCTGATGTAAAGTAAGCAAGATTCAGAACTTGTATGTTCTGGTAGGCTGCAGATCTCTCTGTCAGGTAGAAAAAACACAATAAAGATCTGCACATTATGATCCATGAATAAGAAATACACACAAGTGACAGATAATTAATAAGTAGGCTAAATAGTAAAGTACAAAAATTGTAAAATGAGTGAGAATGTCATATTACATATCAGCATTAGCCTACGTATATGCATGTACATTCAGCCTCTTGTAGGCTTTACATTTAACATGTTGGATTCCATGTTTGTACGGATCACAGGGAGTAGTAATACAGCTTCTTACCATTAATGGCAGCACTGAGCGCCCAGAAAGTAGGTATGCGCCATCTTGGATTTTACGTCTGTTGAACATCATGGAAAGCACTTGTGCTCCTTTTTGAAGTAAATATATCAATTCATGTATATTACACCTGATAGGTTTGTATTTGTTAAACAATAGTGCACACTATGAGGACTTACTTGTTGAAACAGGTGGGTTCACTTGGTGAGCAGACCTTTACAGAGCTAGCTACTTGATGCTACAGTACTGTAGGGCCACAGAACAAACTGGGTTGCTAATTAGCTAGATTACGCTGAAATATTGCTGTTTTATCCACAAACTTTCATTTTGTCCCACAATTTCCTCTGTAAATTCATCAGTTCATTAACTCAAACAGACAAAAACTTTACCTGCTTGAAATGAACATTGTGTCAAATACTGTTATCTAATATTTATGCATCTGACACAATGTTATGACACTGTCCAAAACAAATGCCTGTACCCTATGATTAGCCTTCGATGCAGGTAGACTTCAGTACCCTATAGTACCACACAGTCGTAGTAATGAACTGATTATATGTATTCTCTGTTCAGCCTTTATGCTGCAGTGTCTATTTAAAGGTTGTGTTCATGTGAAGAATGAACAGTTACAATTGCAGCACAAATACTGTGAAAATAGTCAATGTTGTAGTCATATGAGTTGTTTATTACAATTTGATTAGTATTGTTCCAACATACATTTGTAAATATAGTGCAGTTATATGTATTTCAAATGAACGATAGCTTGATTGTTATTATACTGAATAAAATACCTATAAATTGTAATCAAAAATGTATAGCTCTCCAAAAATATAAGCTTTCAGTGAATAAAAACTGAATTAATTCAGTGATCCGAGTATCGGAATAACTTTGTCAATACAAACTGTACAAAGTGTTTAAACATTAAATAATATATCAGTGAGTATCACAACATGCTTTGTCAGTTGAATGAATATAAACTAAGGATCAAGTAAATGTATCTTGGAAAGGTCAAATTTTTTACGTATGTACCTTTAAAATTGCACAATATATATGTTAAAATAAAATAAAAATACATTGATTAGCAATTGTCCAATTGAATCACCTAAAATGTCTTAAGCAACGTTCAGTTTTACTTCGCTGTCATAAAAACTAAGATGGCAATGTCCAAAATGCGGAACTCGAGGCTTCAAAGTGGCAGTCCACAAACCAATGGATGAAGTCACGGTGACTACATCCACTTCTTATATACAGCCTATGGTTAGGATCATATGATTTACAAGGATGGGGAACTGTCTCAAAACTTGCAGTGATGAAAGTACTTAAAAACCAAAGAGATGTAAAAAAACCACAGCAAGCTGGAACTAGGATGTGTTCCTGAAAGTTTGTGGCTGACAAGATTTTCTTACTAACACCATTGTCTGCTCCATTGCTTGCTTGATTGTTTTGCTCAAGTGGTGACACCTGCCATCTAATCAAAAGCTCGACTTATGGTCCTATGTATCTTTGAGAAAAGGCCACCCAGAGTGAACAGTGTGTCCACGGTATAGACATGAGTCAGGCCAAGAGATTCAAGACACTTGAGTTCATTGAGAATGTCGAAGAAGGGATCAGTGATGAGCTGGAGAAACTTCAGAGGGTCTCTGGAGCAGATACGATTCAGTGATTTGGTCAAAAAGACTGCCAAGGGAAGAAAATAGGCCGCTGGAACTATGGAGTAGAGTAAACTCTCCTCCACTTTTACATTCCTACCTAAGTCTCGGGCTCTGTCTACCTTCTTTATGGTCTCATTAATCTTCTCTTTGAAACACAGCAACACATACTTTCTGGCCATTATGTGTCTGTCAAAGCGGGTGACTGGATCGCTGCAGAGGTCCTTGACTTGCTTGGAGTATCTACAAGTGAACACAATTTGTTCACTGTAGAGCTCAGCAGACCTGAGTGCATTTTGTAAATCTTCCAGGGCTTGATCGATGCAGTTTGGATCCAGATGCCTGTCCTGCTGGGTCAAAGATGTTAAAGCACGGTTGTAATATGCAATTGCTGCCCAGCAGTTGTCCTCCTGGATGGCCTTGGTGTACATCTTGATACTCTCTGCAAGATGGCCCTTTTTGCGCAGATCATTGCCAAATGCTGTGTAGTGGTGCAGGTTTGATGAGGCCGATTTTCTCTCTCTGAGTTTTTGCCTGGCTTTTTTCAGGTCCTCGGATAGTTTGATTTGTAAATCCATGATAGAATCCTTCCCATCCAAGTTTGTGAGTAGCCACATACCCCAAAACTCATTCAGCGCAGACAAATCTGAATCTGCTGGCTTGTCATTGCTGCTTTTGTACACTTCATCTAGTGTGCCCAGATACTGACTGAAGAGCTCTTCCTTCTTCTTTATGTTTGGGATGTCACACTCCAAGTATCTCGCTAGTCCTTTAGCCGCAAAGTCATCCCTGAACTTTTTAACTGTCTGTATCCCTGAATTGGAGTTTTCTGTCAAAATATGTAACAGCATTGAAGACATATCTTTAGATTGCTCATGGCTGCGGCTTTGTTGATAAGACAAGTTGATAACAAAAAGATGGGGTAGGACATTAGTCATATTCTTCAATACAGATTGACGCTTGCCTATTAAAGCTAGCGATTTGAGTGGTTCTGACAGATGGCTGGAGCAGACAATGAGTTGAGCGGATCCAGGAGATCCTTGTCTGGCAGTGCGGCCAAATGCCTGGGCCTCCACACGAGTATTGTCAGGCAGGAAGGTCTGCACAACGAACAAACCTCCAGCTGTATTTACTTCCTTAGAAACCTTAAGGTCAGTCCCACGACCTGCAAGGTTTGTTGCTACAATGACATCTCCAGCCGAAAGCTCTTTTAAGACTTCGGAATTGTCCATGTTGTTGCTGATGTAAAGCTTTTTGTTCGGGACTGTATCTTCTAGAGCTTGGTAGAGAACCTTTGCTCGATGGATGGTCTCACAGATGACCAACACAGCTCGTTGATCCCTGTACGGAGTAGAGTTGGTTTGTGCAGTGACGGCATTGCAGGTTTTCTCAATCCATTCATTTTCATCACCTGCAATCACTCCTTCGACCTCAAACAGCTTTCTGCGTTTGAATAAAGGTATCTGACAGGTCTTGATACCTTCATAGATTTTCTGCAAAGTCTCAGTCTCTGCTTGTTGGCCAAGAGTCCCAGTGACTCCAAATATCTGACGTCCATACTTAAGAAACACGGCAACATTGGACATGTAGTTTGTGATGGCTGTCATGTCACTCAGCTTGGAGTGATGTTTCATTTCAAGAAACTGCTGTAGTCCATCCGACAATCTCCGGAAGTTTTGAACAACACCCGTCGAGCTGTAGTCAACAGGCACTACCCCGTGTTTCTCGATGATGTATTCATGATCCCTAGTCATGGTTTGTGCTTTGAATGCATTTTCAACCCAAACTATTAGTTTGGAAGTGACCAGATCTGCAAAGAAGCCCGGGACGTAGCAGGTTACTCCATCTTTGCTGAGATCACAAGGTGTAAAATGCACAGCACGTTTTATTTCTGCTTCTGCAGCTTTCAGCATACTCTCTCTATCAGAATACATGTACTGACAGAACCCTCCATTGATTAGAAGCAGTGCCACTCTCTGTCTATCAGCCATTGCTTCTTGTGGTCCTTTGTGCAGGTTATCTATTGAGCCATCGCTGTTCATGCAGTGCAGAGCAAACTGGCAAGATGGGAATTTCCTCTCTACTGTCTCAAAGAACGCTGCCAACTGGGTAACAGTAACACCTGCAGTCTTCTCAGTTAAAAGGCTTGGGTTCTTTCTAAGGTCCTTTACTGAACCTTTTGCCAGTATACCTGTGTCCTCAGCCATTTGAAGGATGGCGAACTCGTCAACATGTTTGCCCGTTGTTGTGTTTTCAAGCACGACTTGATGAAAGGGGTATTTTTGCCCCACCATCGTCTCTTTGCCAATCCTTTCGTACTGATTAGCAGTGGCCCATATGAATGCCAAGAGTGGATTGAGATGTTGCAAAGCAGGCATATTGGCACCTATATAGACAAAGTGATGACCCTTATCCAGCATCAAGGAATCCACTTCATCCACGATTGCACACTGGAATGTTCTTTTCCCAAATATGTCCATTCTTTCAAAGTGCTGGCCAAGCCAGTGTCCAGCAAACACTTCCACAGTACCATAAACAACCTGACACTTGTAGCACCGTCTTAGGTCTTCGATCTGTTTGTTGGTGTTGCAGTCTACACTGATTTTCAAACTTTCATAAAAGGCTTGCCAGTCCCTCAAATCTCTTTCTGCAAGAACTGAAGAACTAGTGAAGATCTCTACTTGTTCTCCTCTCATAGCTCGAAAAGCTGCAAACATTGCCACAGTACATGTCTTTCCCTCTCCGGTGCCGACCTGAATCAACCGCCCCATTTCCGAAAGAGCCATAATACACCAGCTCACCATCTGTGTCAGTCGTGGGCGGAACTTCTTAGTTACTTCCACTGCCTGACAGAGCTTCAGCAGGAGTTGTTTCAAGCCACTCCGCAGTGATCCATCATTGTGTGAAGTAAGATCCTTATCAACTGATGACACAATGTCCTTTACGTCAGATAAAAGCTTGTCATCAATTTGGTTTAACTTTTCCTGACGGATTTCCTCAAGAATTTCATCCAGTGTTTTTTCTGCGTCATGGGCTAAACATTTCTTGAGAGCCTCATCAGTTACAGTGTCGTCTTTGACCAGCTCGATAACAGTCTTTCCATTTTGACATTTCCAACTGGGAGTGATGTAATTAATCTCTATGCAGTGCAACATATTCATCATCCATAAGAGGAGATCTGATCTGTCATTTGCTATTGACTCAAATCGCTTCAGAAGAGCATCGAAGACATCAGTGGCATCCTCTGGGCTCCATTTGATATTTGTTACCAGTCCCTGCAGCTTGCTTATAAGTTCTTCTGAACACAAACACCTCTGATCAAAGAGCAAAGTTCTGAATCTGTTCAGAAGTTCTTCGACACTGCTGTCCGTGTCAGAATCAGCCATTTTGTGGAAAAAAACTAAAATCTGTTCAAAACAGAAAAGGATTTGGGGGGGGAAATAATATAACATTTTGAGAGTCAATCTTTAAAACAATACACAAATTCCACACTCTGTTTGATAGCTGTTATCCAGTAATATTGTGATAATAATTTCCATATACTCAAGTGCCAACTTGCATACAGCATTAAAATGAAATAGGGTTCATTCACAATATATATTTAGCACTTTTATTTTTCTACACTGCACAGTACTATTCCTCTGACAATCAAATATGATCAAATATGCATCAAAACACAAGTTTTATCAGTCATTGTCTCTGTTAATAATGAATGTATTGTGGTAGTAGTCTACTCACCTGTTAACAAGATGAAAAGGCTGAGAAGTGGTGTGTGTCTCTGAGACACCAGAGCTGATCTGTTCACTGTGCATTTGACATTTTTTATCTTTTGTGTTTGGTTTTGTTTTGCCAACCTTGTCTGGATACCGCCCAGAGGGACTTTCCTTCCATCCTTTCGATTTCATTTACTGACTTACTGTAAACTGAGTTTACAGTAAGTCAGTATTTGCAGACGTCAATCAAACAGCAATATTTCCCACTGAAATTCCCCCTTGAGTTAACCAATTTTTACACAGCCACGACAAAAGGTATATTTACGTTTTTATGTAAAATGCTGTCAATTAGGGTTATCAATACATATTATCACCTTGTAAATCAAATATTTTGATGCTTCAAATTCAAGATTAATTTCAATATAAATATTGATACATACTAAAAAAATAGATACATTTAATTCCTGTGACCTCTATGATTAAAATATTTAAATAAAGTTTATGTCCTTAAAACAAACTAGATTACTAAACTCATGTATTTGTACAGCGTTTGGTATTCTTTGAAGATAGTCCAAAATCCATATAATATGGGCCAACTTTAAACCTTTACCTTGACCTCTCAGGGTGGGACTAGCACATAAATTAAGAAAAATAAAGAGATGCCGTGCGAAAGGCTGTTTGGAAAAAGTCCCACCATGTTTTGATTAGCATCTTTATTGTACAGAAACTCCCCTGGTTTCTCCAACATGGTTTTTCTTTCACTTTCTTGACAATCACAGGACTTCTTGTTTGCGTATCATAATGTGTTTAAAATACCCGAGACACCTACAACATGGTATTCTAATGAAATAATTCAGCACCCTGTGCAAACATCACAACAGATCATCGTACGTTTGATATTTACATGTAAATGCTTTTTAAATTAATTTGGGTTCAGTGTTATTTCACACAGGCTATGCCTAGCATGTGAGACAAATCAACATTCCTCTCTCTTATTTGAATTTGAGAGATCTCATTCTTTTTTTTTGGCTTGAATTGAATTGGTGCAAACATTTTTAATGTATTGTTACTGTAATAGAATATATTTTGAACAACCAAAGCTGCTCCTGAAACAGATTTACAGTCTTCTGCCATCTGTTGGACAAATACCGTAATAGCACTGTTTATAAATGGACTGAATTCTTGCGATTGATGCAAGCTCATTTTTATGTTTGAGGAGAAAACTAATAGATTTAAATGGTTTGAAACATGTCTTTTTCGGTTATTTGTATTTTATGTTCTCAATATAAATGTTTATTAGGAGAATGAGCTGGAGGCGGACCAGGGAGGAACTGCCGCAGCTACAGAAAGCGCATCTGGGGAAAGACGACCTGTGAGTACTTTTAAACTGGACCTGTGGTGGGAAAGGTTATGTATTTTTCATGGTGTTTCCACTCCGTTTGTGTGTCATATTTGATGTTTCGTCCTCAAACAGGTAAACAACCTAACCAGAGTGCGACAGAGCGTTTCACTGGCGCACTGTTTGTTGGCATGGCGTGCGTTTTGGGGCCACAACTCTGGGGCCACACCTATGATTTGAAACCTTATTTTGGCATCAAAACTTTCCTACGCTGTTAATTATATCCCCACTTGAACATGAATCATTTTGTTTTTACTACTAAAAACTAGGCTCAGTTGATTCATTATTGATTTTTCAAATTCCTGTAGGGTGTAGACATTAAGAAAACTTTAGGCTACGGCTGGCCTGCAAACTTGCCCAGGCTGATTATATGTCGGTTTAGATTTTAAGATCAGGAGACTGATAAAAGATAAAAATGCATATTGAATTGCAGGCCTAGGAAAACATGCAGAGACGAAGAGGAAACGTTTGCCTTTGTGGTGAGGATATGGTAAATGGAGCCATGTTTTTATTGCTTACATTTATAAATACATACACAAAAACGGTTTCTCTCATCTGTCAACACAGAGCCTGCGGACGTCAACAACACCTGGACCACACGGCCGGTTGAGCTGGGCGAGGACAACCGGTCGGTTTGCATTGCGATGGATTCAGAAGTTGGAAAGGTACTGACTTGTGACAAACCCACGCAGAAATACACCGAAGGTTATGTGAATTCGCCTTCAAAATAATATGGCAAGGATTATATGAAGTTTCGGGTAAAAAAAAAAGTACATCTTCTCCATTCCAGTTTCCAAATTTGGGTTTATGATGGCTGTAAATCCTCTTAAACAAATAATAAACAAATAACCCTCTCAGAAACAGTTATCTGTTTAACAATACTTCTTAGAAATTAGGCTGTTTAGAAGTTTAGAAATCTGATCTGTATCTTTTACTGGTCCTTTTGTTTGTCAACTTCTAAATTTGATAAAAGATGCAGTTCTCATAATCTGTATTTTTATTAGTTTTGTAAATCACATTGACATCAAATCAATAAAAAAATGCTGCGATATTTTGAATAATATTATGGGATAGTCAATTACTTAAATAGGCCCATGCAAAGAAATGTAGATTACTCTAAATGGTTAGATTTTAATGCCAGTGTTCCGCTAAACCAGGAATGAGTCTCGCAGGTAATGCCTTTTATTTTGAAAATTAAAATTCCGGATGTGGAGGTGTTCCTCGAGGCTGACACAGGTGAGTAAACTGGGAGATAATTACCTGAACTCTGCGTATTCCGCGGACACGCTGACGCGTTTTGATGCAACAAAAATAACTTCCTCATCATCCGTAAATAAAATAATCTGGTTTTATTGAATATTCAGCAAACTGAACTGATCATGAAGGGAGAAACAAATACGGTAAGTCTCGTGTTGGGCAAATTTAATCTCCAATTAACAGCGATTGATGCAAGCTCATTTTTATGTTTGAGGAGAAAACTAATAGATTTAAATGGTTTGAAACATGTCTTTTTCGGTTATTTGTATTTTATGTTCTCAATATAAATGTTTATTAGGAGAATGAGCTGGAGGCGGACCAGGGAGGAACTGCCGCAGCTACAGAAAGCGCATCTGGGGAAAGACGACCTGTGAGTACTTTTAAACTGGACCTGTGGTGGGAAAGGTTATGTATTTTTCATGGTGTTTGCACTCTGTTTGTGTTTCATATTTGATGTTTCATCCTCAAACAGGTAAACAACCTAACCAGAGTGCGAAGGAGCGTTTCACTGTAGTGCTGGCTCACTGTTGGCATGGCGTGCGTTTTTTGTCGAGGCCAACAGACTGGCCAAACCCAGTGTGCTACGAGGGATTTAACTTCTTTTCGTGGCTTTTTCTGTGCTTTTTTACAAGTCTACCAAAAAGTCACTCACTCTGAAGAAGAGTGCTTTTCAGTGTCCATGACGCTGTATACTATAATCCTTTAACCTGCTAAAAACTACAACCTTCAGGTAAACAAGGTGGAATAAAAGGTACACCGGGTACCTTCTGCAGTAAAGTCTCTGAAAATAGTCAGTCCATATCACAAAATAGCATACTTTTTAACAGGACATTTAATAGTGTTTTAGCATTAGGCAATAAGTTCACTAGTTGTTTAAACTAATTTATGTCTAATTTAAGTTATTATAAAACAATAGATAATTACCTGCACACTGGAATTAGAGATCTGTTTATCCTTTTTAGCATGGTGTCCAGCCATCTCGTTGGTATTTCAGGTGTCCAACCAGGTTTTGGGGACTAAAACCTGCAGTTTGATGTATTTTTGATATGTTTTTGATATTTCTATTAACTAAAGTATGACTTTAACATTCCAGATATTTTTGTTTTGGCCCGGTAAGCTCACCGATAACAAAATAAAAAGCGGGCAGTTGATTTTGTGTCCGTCTTTTTTCCTTAGAGTATTGTAGCGCTGCAAAATATGCTCAAGAAAGTCACCCAAAGCCCTTTCCAGAAACAGTACCAGGTGAGTGGCTACACACACACACACACACAGACACGCCCTAACACCCACTCAGCCGAGCTACAGTAATAGAGTTGTGTTTGACTTTCTCCCTTTAAAAGAATTAGCTTCCTTATTGTATTTTTCTTTATTTCCTTCTCAGAGTCTTGTTTCATCAGTCTCTGATTCCAGCGGATCATCTGTGAACGAGTCTCAAAACAAACAGGTTAGAGACCAATTATAGCAGCTTTCAGTTCATTTTTTTTAAGATCGTCTTTGCTTAAACGCAGAGATAACAGCGTCTTTGTTGTTGGAAAAAAAACAAACGGCTTGCAAATGCTTCTGGTTTCCTTTTAACAGTCAGGAGTGGTGTTTACATTTCTGTGACACATGACTTTCATATCTTGGCAAATCAGAAAAGCATGATGCGTGACGTCCCACGCTTTGTTCCATAAATATGTTATTCATTTAGTTTGGTCCACAGGAGGGTGAGCGCCTCGGCGATCCCTCAGCTGCAGCCTCAGGTGTGACAGATAACCAGCAGCCACACATAGGACAGGTGAGGCCCATCTGCTGCAGAGCATACACGATGACTTAGGATTCAACTCTTGAGCGATTCCACCCGAGATTCAGCTGAAATGCCTCAAATTTGTCACATGAAATTGATCATTTTAAAATGTTTGTTCGGTATTCTTAACGCTACGGTTGAAACCGCAGTTCATATTGGCATATATGGCAATAGACGTAGTGTTATCTTCCACAAAAGCTGGTAACTTTAAAAAAAAGCATTTTTCTTTGATTTGTGCCTGCTCTTATTTTGAAAGCTATACCATTTTGTCTTGAGCAGTCCTTGAGACAAAAAGTTAATTTCACATTTTGCTCGTGCCCTCCTCCCAACAATCATTCAACATGTAACATTTCTGCCGTGTCACTGTCTGATTCTTTCAGAATGGAAGGCAGGAAGCGCTCCACTTAAATCCTCAGGTATGTTGTCAGATGCCCGCTTAACTCTGTTTTGGGTTCTCTTGTCAACAGTCCAAGTGACATCTAACTTCTCTTCTGTTCATTTTCCCTTTCTTTACTTATCAGAATGGAGTCAACGGGGGCTTGGCCAGAATGAACCATTTTCATACCAACTATTTGGTACATACAAGGACTCCTGCTTTCAAAACCAGGTCACAACGTTGCCTTAAGGTACTGTCATTTTCAGTACTAATTCGCTTGTGTTCTGTTATTAGGAATCTGGAAGCACGGGTCGTGCAATGGAGGACGAAGGAAGGAGAACTTCAGAGGAAGTAAACCTTGATGCCATCTTTGTTCCTCCGCCGGATTTTCAGAGTTCCCCTCTGGATCTTCAGCCTGACATGAAGACTGTGGAAAATGGAGCTGAACTTCCAAAGGACCCATTCGAGACCGTTACCCCCAACCTTATGCAAGACCCCTTCCAGACACTGGCGTTGGCCCAAAACATATCTACCAATGGCTATTTTCACGACATTACCCTGAACTCACCAGACTTGTTTAAGCCAATGCCCGCTCAAACACAGAACCCGCCAAAAAGCTCTGACCCGTTTATGATATACGATGAAGGGGTCGATCTTCAGGCTGCTAAAGGAGAGGATGTGCTCCATGCTGAGCGCACCAGGGGGGTAAACCTGTTTGACAAATCCCCCAGTATTTTATCAAACAAGGAGAATGAACTGTTCCAGCCTCCTCAGCCAGAGACGACAAACGCATTCTCCGCTGACTGGCCCAAAGAAGCAGATTTGTCTCGAGCAGTTCCAAGTGGGGAAGACGAACAAAATCCCTTCATGAAAGAGGACATTTTTGGCATGTCTTCTTTTAAGGATGTATTTTCATCTTCATCCACAAATACAGTCGATCCATTCCCAAGCCCGATCACGAGGGATTTATTCCAAGACGTTTCCAGTTTGGACGACCCGTTCGGTACTACACCCTCAAGATTATACGACCCTTTCCAAGATGTTTCTCCTGGGACTCCAGACATCTTCAAACCACTTCCCCCCGAGACCGACAGCAGGGATATATTCGGGATAACCTCCAGGAATACTGCCCCAAAGGCCGCCTTCTCTACACCTTTAATGGGCAGCCCGTCGGATATGAATCCGGACGTGCCATCGCCACTAGATCTCTTCAAGGTGAATCTAGAATCTCATCCAGCCATCCAAGCAAAGCCTTCCGACAGGCCACGCGATATTGTCCTGACGACTCCTCGGGGAACAGAACATGATATTCTTCAGCCGAGTCCCTTCAGTCGGGCCAGGAACCTGTCCATGCTCCACAGCCAGTCTCCAGCTGAAATGACTCATGTATGTAACAATTGGATAGTTGGACAGCCGTAAAATAAGTATTTAATGCCAATGCATTGTACTTTAAAGTGTGCACTGTACTGTAGGATGCATCTAGTCGACGAATCAGATTGTATGACATGCACTTCATACCCTCTTTCGTAATCAAACTTGCAGGTGTCGACTTTCAAACGTCCGCCAAAGCCACTTCCTCGAAGTCGACCATCAAGGACAGAAAAGTCGCCAAAACCAGCACACCCTGTAAAGAACATAGTTTATCATAATGTTGTTATTACTGTTCTCCGTAACTGTTGTGCTGTTAATTAGCTTCGTTTGTTTTTTGTGTTTAGATTGAACCTGAAGCAACTGTACCAAAAACCTCTCCTAAACCAGCCTTCAGACCGGCTCCAAAACCTATTATTTACCCCAAACCCAAAACTCCGGTATGCACGCTGTTCGAATTTGACATTAATAGCTGCCTTGTCCTTTTGATATTGGTCCAATGAAGAACAATGTGAAATGTCACGTGTGGGTAGTTTCTGGGGGCATGTTTCAAATATTTATTTTTTTTCCAGGAAAATAAATCGATGGATGCTGAGAACTCTGCACTCTTTGAGAACATCCTGCTGACTGGACAGGTGAGTTTTAAGTGGAAGTCAATGTTTGCTTGATGGTGGTATTGGAACAAAAAATCTAGATAAAAAATGTCAATCAGGAGTAAATCTATCTCCTTTGGAAAAACCATGGGATGGATGGACATATCGTTAAACTGACTATCATCACCACCTTTGTCGAATACAAATGTTTGCTTTACTGAAATCCCAAAACAGGAAAGGTGTGTGGAAGACTGGGCTGAAGACAGCCCTGAGCTTAACCCCGACTTCAAACCAGTAAGAACACTTTTTCATCATATTCTCCCTGAACATGTTGGCACACTTACCTCGAAACGTTCAGCAACTATATGCTCCGTCAAAGACATTTCTGTTCTTAACAAAAGTCTTTTTTTCTACAAGTCTGGAACATTTAGACTACGACGAGAATCTTTGAAAGTAAGAAACAAGTTATTTCTCTACTTGGACGTGTTTGTTTGTAAGAGGAAAGAAGACTCTATAAAATGCTAACCTTTCTCATAGACTAAGGCGGTCACTGAGGAAGGAAGCAGCGATGATCAGGATGGCTCTGTAAAGGTATCTGACCGTCTCAGCACTCACTGTTGGTCATTCTGTAGTTATCAAGTGTGTAGATCAACACAGATTTTCTTTATTTCACAGAAAAAGGACAGAAAGTTCAGATTGTCCATGCTTTCCAGAAGAGGGTCAAAGGTAAACGAAGCAAAACAAAACCACAGCTTCATTGTTCTGATTGAACGTCTTTATGATGGCGAGACTTTTCTGTTTTGTAGGAGAAGTCTTCTGACGATTTAAAGGACGGGAGGAGCAGGTCACTACCCAACTCTCGTAAATCATCAAAGGTAACAATCGGGGTGTCTGGAGTCAAAAATGAATTGTGTAAGCATGTATCAGTAAGCCTGGTCTTCACTTTATCCCACTCATATATTCACATATGTGATTAGAAGAGTATTACAACTGTAATGCGTCAGTCAAAGAACCGGACTAACAACATGTTTAGCAGACACCAGCTGCTAGATATACTGTCGGTTAAATTAAACACTTGATTCAAGACAAAAAGGATTGTTAGATACAAACACATCGATGTTTGTACTTGCTCAGTTTAAACACGAGTGCTTCTGTTTTTTTTTTTTTTCAGGAAATTCTTTCAGAATTCCACGTGTCTGGAGAGGAGAATGAAGAAGGGGAGCAGAATGAGACGGACTACAAAGTACGTTATATTGTTTCTGCATTTGACAAACCGTATTAATAAACCAGCGGCGCTTTAATAATGCTTTCCTTTGTCAACAGAAGAAATCTTTGAAGGAAAGAGTCGATAAGCTCAGAAGAGCCTCCTTTACTTCCTCAGCGGCGATGGGAAAGCACATGAACGGACATTTACCTCAAGAGTCAAAGGTGAGTTATCTGAAGTACAAGTGTGCTGTTTTGGAGACGGACATTGATTTCCTTCAAACCTTCTTCTGAATCTGCGTTTCATCCATTCTTATGGTGCGTCACAACAGGGAGATGACCTCGATAAGAAAAGTATTGGAAAGAAAGACTCCGTCATACGCCGATGGTCAGAGGTAAAGTACCTGCAGTCTGCTGCAAACAAGGTGCAAAAAAAGCACAAAGCACGTGGTGCATTAATTCATATTCCTAAAGTCAAAGCTTTGACAAGAAGTATAGTTTTGGAAGCAATTGTTTTACGTGCTTTCATTTCTTAGTCTCCTCAAACAGTAAACGTGTGTTTCGTTGTCTACAGGGGAAAGTTTTGGATGACCGCACTGGTGAGGAAGACGAGGAGGAAGAGGAAGAGGAGGAAGGGGAAACCCTGCACAAAGAGGTGGACGGCCATGGATCTGTAAGCTTTTCTTATACTTAGAATAATGATGCATAGCAATAAGCACATTAATGCCAGGATGTTATCATGGTTGATAGCCATGACCATTCAACTTAAAGTAGCATTATGCTAGTTATGAGTTAACCTTTAATGAGTGATTGACATGTTGAGATCTGTGAATATTCTGGCGTGCATTGATTTTGGTTACCTAATGTTTTGTCTCTCCAGAAGAAAAAAAAGAAGATGAAAATCAGGTTTGTGTCACAAAGAGGATTCAGCATCAGTCTAGAGAAGGTAGTGTATGTCTACTGTACTTAATGTTTCACTGCATACGTGTTTGTACCTCAATGAATGTGTAACTTTTTCTCTGAACAGAAGGGAGCATATGGATACACACCTCGTAAAAGCTCAAAGGTACGACTATACATTTGAATATGGTGGCTTTGTACAGTGTGCTCGTGCGTTGTGTCTGAGGTATGAGGATGTCTAAGCAGTGCAGCACGTTTGTTCTTTTTTCCCTCCCTTCAGGACAAACTAGAGGAAATTGGTGCGCATGGCTACACACCTCGTAAGAAGTCCCAGGTAACCTTTGGTTCAGTTAACATTTAAACATGAGCAATCGATACCTCACAGGGCAGTGACTCACTGTCTAGTATGAGGGTGAATAGTCCGATGAATTCCTTTTAATGGAAGTGGTTTATTTATAAAAACGCGTTCAGTTAGCAGTTTTGGGATAGATATGGAATTACTGGCTTGCTTATGTCAGCCATTTATTGATTTGTTTTGTCATGTTGAAGAAAATCCACTTCCATAACATGAAAGGACTCCATCACGTGTTGTATTCTGTATTATAACTCTTATGTCACTTTTAGGATGATGTTTTTGGGGATGTAGAGGAGAGAGACCCCCATCTTCAGTCAACTAGCAAGGTACTGTGTTTCTTATTGTTATGATTATTATTGTATACCGAATGTCATCTTCTACTGAGGTTTTCGAATGAAGCTTCGAACGTCAGTCATATTTTATCTTATGATGCGAGTTATTGTGGTTAAATAAATGTAATTCATGGTGCTGTTGGATGACTGCTCAGTTAATACAGGTGGGTGCCTCCGTTTGTGTGCGTCAAGGTAAAGAAAACTGTTTTTTCACTGCAGTGAAAATGTTATTTTTGAAAAGCTAAACGCCAACAAATCTGGATTGAAGCAGAATATTTAGATTAAAACATATTTATAGTTATTAGAAATGTTTTTATCACATGAGAAGGATACAATTCTATGCAGCCCGAACTGGAATCTAATTCGTATGATATTAACAATGTTAGTGTAGCTTAATCTTTATCTGTAACATGCAAAAATACCGTTATTTGCTGACTTGATGCATAACTTCCATTTCAAATATGTGATCATTGTTGCAGTGGTTTCTCTATGCAGCATGGTTTTCACTGTAACCTGTATGATTTCTTTCATCGATGTTCCTCACTCAGAATAACGGTGGTTTTGAATCCGTCTCTTAGGCTGCTTACATGGACGATGAGCACTTCTTGGATACGCACCACATGTCTGGAGGATTGAATGGAGATGAAGATCCATATGAAGTGGAAGACTGCAAACCTGTAACACTCTTTTTCTTTTAATACTCAGTTTTTTCATTGATTCATTTGTCATCTATTTTCACTGAATTGTTATTGTTTTCTTCGTCAATGGAAGAAACCAACAAAGAAACTGCTCCGCATGGGTCAGCAAAGCTCTAAGGTGAACATTCAAAATGTTTGGTTACAAGACAATCGGAGATAAAAAAAAAAATGTTTTTACTTCATTTGGACTTTTCTCAAATGTTTTTAATTAGGAGTACACCAAACAGAAACAGAAGAGCAGCTTCTCAACAGACGAGCTATACGATGACGACTGGATGGAGGACTGCAAACCGGTATGAGACCAGAATACACTGTAACAGGCTGATGACTAATAACAATGGCACAGTGTAACTGCTCTGCAACCAGGGCATCAATCAATTTGACAGACTAGATTAGCAATAACAGAGGAAATGGAGGGCTTGTGCTGTCAGATGAGTCATTGTGTTCCAGTGAGGATCCCTTAAAGCTCCTCTATGAACAGACCCGTCGGTAAATACCTGTGTTACGTCAGACTCTTTTGGAAAGTGTGAGAATGAAAGGCGCTGCAGAAGAAAAGATGTCGTTTGACTTCATTCCGCCTCGCAGCATATGGGGTTCTTCAGTTTATACAATATTGTTTGTTTCTTGTTAGAAAACACCCAAACACAAAGGCCTCACTCCCATCACACGCAAACCTAAGAAGGCCAATGGACAGAGTGAACCGATTGGATTCAGCCACCAGACACCTCAGCGAGCATCCAACGTATGTTTAATACACAACATAATTATAATATAATACTTCAGTTTTAAATATTTCTGAAATATTCTTGTGCAGGATCACTTTGCTGAGGATGGCGAAGAGGATGAAGTGGAAACCTTCAAACCGGTATATTTATCACTCATGTTCATGTACTGCTTTTCTTTGATATTATTTCATAAATAATTCTGAAACATATTTTTTCTTATCAACAGAAGAAGACGTCTAAACTTAAAGGCTTCATGAAACACAAGGCTAAGGTGAACCGGTGTGGTCTCACTTATTGTAACTTATCACAAGTGGATTTTGCTCTTGTTTGATGGCAGATAGTTTAAAAATAAGATGGTGACGTGCTCACTCTTGGTTGTCTCTTGATTCCAGAGCAAACTGAAGCAACCCAAGTGGGAAGATCCATCAGGAGCAACGTCGGGTGACTTCATGTCAGAGGCCGCTAAGGTACGTTTGGACCCTTCAGAGTGGAAACGATCAATGTGTGGCTTAATTAGACGATATTTGGTGTCTAACATTGAGTCTTTAGGCAGTGATTAGTATCATCCTCGGATAAACTTCTTCATCAATGACCTAAACCGTCAGGTGACTGTGACTCGAGATGTAGCAACATGGCGTGTCAGCTGATCACCTTGATGCTGTTGACTCTGATAACACGTTTTGTTTTTGTCAGTGAGTCAGACCTGACTAGCTGTATGGAAAATCACGTCTTGGGTCAGATTTACATCAGGCTACTGTTCTGTGTTGAACAGGGGAGGGGAGGAGCCAGCCTGAGGGCTGCATTCACAACACTACACCCTATGCTTCATTTACTACTTGGGGAGCATTCCACACCGCATGTGTTAATCTGCCTGTCCAGCACTGATGCCTGTATACTATGTTTGTGTTTTAAATAAACGTCAGCTTTGTGTGGAAAGTCCTAAAGCTTTTACATGCACCTTTAAGAAAACCAAATGAACAATTGTGCACAAAACACTCTTTTGCATTATTCATACGAGGTGCATTTTGTTGATTTCAACACACACTTATGAAAGTGTTCCTGATGGGGCGCATTCCTTTGACATGTGACTGCGCCGGTTTAGCAACATTACACTCTAACCAGAGCGTAGTCGTGGATAATTCCACGTTTTCATGACTAATCCATGTGAATGTGTATATATACGACCTATTGACGTATTCACTGGCTGCTTTGTGGCCCGTCCACCCCCCCTCATTCAGGCGGAGTGGCTGGCGGCTCAGATGGATGAGTGCACCATAGCAGGTCTGGAGGATGAGAACGAGGACGGGGTTAGTTTCTCTTTAAACTGGCTCAACAGAAATATTCCACTTAAACACCATTCATTTCCTATTTAATGCAGGTGAATCACCTTTTCTAGTAGTGTAGCTCAGGTTTGAACCATTGTTTTTATTTTTTTGTCCCAGGACACTGACAGTTTGATGGAGTGGTGGAACACAGTGGAACGTGAGTCACCATCCCACTTGTTTTAAAGTTACTGTGAAGGACTTTCAACTGGTTATGAATCGGTCTCAATTTTTGACTCTACTTTCTAATTTATATTTTAAAAAAACAGAACATATTAGGAGAGCAACATAAACATATGGTCAAATTAAGCAAGATTTTCTTGTACTGTTGTCCCAGCATGAACGCACATATCCTTAACAAAGACAAAAAACTTCATAAGCAATTGAGACCATCTACATAGTTATTCTTAATGCTCATCATCGGTGCCACCGGGTCCGATTACGGCAAAATCCGCCGAAATATTGCAGCTTCACCAGAAACTTCCTTTAGCTCAGACTCCGGCATAGCAGCTACATAGTAGACTGAAGAAACTGTCCTTTTTTTTTTTTTTTTTTTTTTTTTTTTTTTTTAAAACTTCATCAATTTTGTTTGTTTGTGTTTCAGAATGGGATGAGGTGCCATCAGACGATGAGGACAAAATCATGAGAGAGGACGTGTCCAAGTACGTCTCTTTATATGAATTTGGTAAAAGTGTAGCGATCTGGTCAAGCTGCGTTCAAAGTGTTATTGATTCCAGCTGAAACAGTTGGTCGATCTATTGGTCGGTTAGCAGAAACATAATTGTTTTTATAGTCGTTTCAGTCATTTTTCAAGCATCAATGCCCAAAAATTGCTGCTTCTAGCTTCCCAAATGTGAGTGCTTGATGTTTTCTTTGTCATATATGATACTGAACTGAATATAATTTACATTTGGACTACTGGTCGCATAAAAAAAGTGATTTGACCTCGGGCTCCAGCATTTGTTTTATTTTCTTGTTTGGCCTTTTTGTATCACAAACCACATTTTAAGGTGCGTCCTCGCTCCTCTTACCGAGCACATTTTTGCTCAAATAAATCCCAGGTCATTCACCATCTTGGCGGACAAGGTTCATCGCGGCCTGCGCGTCTTCAACAAAGTCTTCACGGAGCGAGCGGAGGTCCTGTGGCAGTCCGTCATCACGCTCCACGCCATCGCGGACAACCTCGACGAGTTCCACCACAAGGCCAAGATCGCCGGCATCACCGGTGGCACCACCACGGCCGTGGGTGGTGTGACCGCCATCGCCGGTTTGGCTCTGGCACCCTTCACATTGGGCGTCTCCCTCGTGATCACCGCCGTCGGTGTTGGTGTGGCAACGGCGGGCGGAATCGCCTCGGCCTCTGCGGCCATCTCGGATAACGTCAACAACGTGCAAGACCGGAAGAAGGTAGGCTAGAATTTTACAATGCATGCAGTGTCTCCGATGACAATGTGCGTTCTTTGGCTACAAACTGCCCTGAAGTAAATGCTTGAGCTTAACTTTTTGATTTCTTTCAATGTTTAACCATAAACTGTGGTCTTTACCTCTTCTCCCCAAGGTGGAGGTAGTGCTGGAGGGGTATGATACTCACCTGCAGGCCATTGCGAAGATCCTCCACTTTGTCAATCAGGGCGTGTACAAACTCCGCGGCCATCCCTTCCTCAGGTCCGGCACCCAGCACTACTCCGAGGACTGGGAGATCCGCAAGGCCGTGCAGATGATCAGCTTAGTGGACTCTCCTGTGATGCGGGCAACGGAGGTAACGGATGCCTTGGTCGCCTCGGTCCAAAGACTCTTTAAGGGCATGGACAAGTACTTCCTCAAGGACTCCAGAGAGCTGAAGAAAGGCGTGAAGAGAGAGGTGGTGGGGCAAATAAAGATGGTGGCAAATGTGCTCAATGACGGCATAGTGGAGCTGAATACCATCAGAGAGGAGCTCCAGGATGCCACTGGAAACATTTGAGCAACATCCTGCATGATGCCACTTTGAGTTTAGTTGTTTCTCCAAGCACACCCAGCGCCCTCTCCTGGCTGAATGAGGGAACTGTTGGTTTAAAAGTGACGCTAGTGTGAAGCTTATCATGGTCATTATTTTTGATGTGGCTTTGGCGTTATTTTAAGGCTATAGGTTACTGTTATGCTGTGAGATGTTCACTGTGCACACAGGGACTGGTCAAAATAACAGGAAAGCAGGCACACTCTATGTTTTCGGGTTAAAGGTTAGAATATGAGGCGTTTCAAAATATAGCTTTGTGGTCTTAGATGGCTTAATTTCAACATTTTGCACAGATTTGTTTTTTTTCGGTGTAATTTCCACACCCACTGTGGACACATTCTAAACAGGAGCACGACAGTACAATGTACAACTCTATGGCACCTCTCTGACACCGTTCCAACAAATCAATTATACATGGATTCATAAATTCAAACGCTGTTGTATTGTTATATTTTCAGCAGATCCTATTAGTTTTCCAGTCACTCTGCCAGATATCGGTGTAACCAAAACAATTGTAGTAGTTGAGAATCTACAGTGACGCCCCAAAAACAGGAAACTGTGGATTAAAAAAAAAAGTGAGTTCAATTTTATTTTATTAAGTTTAAGATTTGAATGTGTTGTTGATACTTTTCATTCGTTAAGGTAAATTTTAGTTTATCGACCAGACTTTGTAAATAACTTTCTGCTCACATCATCTTATGAGGGTATATAGTTAGTCACGTATTCGCAGAACTTATTTTTTATATATCGCTGTGACATTTCTTCAAAACTCCAATGAAGTACCAATCTAAGTAATTGTCTAAATGTTGGTGTGTACCAAATAACAGACGAGTCTTACAAAGCCTGTTCGCTTGAAGCTGTAGTTTGCCGATGCATCGGTTACAAAAACTTCCAGAGTTTGTTTTGCTGCTTTTTGTTAATAGTAATTTCTGCATTTACATTCACAATGATTACAATGTCAACTTATTGTTCAAACATGTATTTTAGTGTGTAAATATCTTTGTGCATATGTGTAGATACATTGATTTAACCCTTTATAATAATCTTTCAGATAGGAATATCATAACAGTAACTGTCCAACTTATCTATTACTGTATGTTTTATGTGTTCTTACTGGATAATGCGCCTGCCTTTATTTTGACGGTGCATCTGTAACATTTTCTATTTTACTATAATACATTGAATCTTTGAATAAAGACTGGAAAGAGAGAAAAAGACTTGTTTTATGGCTCTTTTATGAAAGCTGCTGTAATGTGAATCATAGAAGCTTCTGAATATTACAATAATACAACTGAATTCATAGCTATTTTACTTTGAAAGCCATAAATCTGTGTTCTCTTTGAATGGTTCAATTTTCTTTCAACTTGATTTTTTAACCCTGAGGTGCCGGAGGAAGGAGGCCACGCCCCCCGCACAGGTAGCACAGGTGACTGTGATGGGCGTGCGCGCTTTTCCCCTCAAACTATCCATAAGTTTTGTGTGGAGCATTGGCCCGTAGCCAAGCTATCCTTTTGTTCGCCATTTAAAACACAAACCTTCCATGAAACCAGGTCGGTAAAGTTCCCCTCGGTAATCCAACGCGTCTGTGTCCCGCCTCTGTTTGTGTCAAACCGGTTTGACGTTGTGCGTTTTGAAGGGGGAAGTGAAGGACCGTGTTGGAGCCGACACCATTTAAAACTCTGTTTAGTTTTTTCCTGTGGCAACAATAAGGTAGGCACCACGCTCGTGTCATTGTGTTGTTGCTGGGCTTTTGTGTGGTCAAACATTCCGCTGTACCATACAGTTTGGAACTGTACGTTGACGCTCCTGTGCGCGAGAGAGCGCCACGAGCCAAACTACGTTCACAGTTCCGGCAATTTGAAGGTTGTCTGCCTTTTTGTTGTTGTAGAACGCGACATCCAATGTTGTCACCACTCAGGTGGACACGTTGTTCAATTCGGCGTTGTCCCGTTTGCCAAAGCATCACTTGAACCAGTAACATCGTAACTTTTCTAATTAGTTGGCTCAGATTTCACGCACGCCTTTTCTCCAACTGTGACCTAAATAAAGTGGGAATAAAATGCGCTCTATGCATTTATGACTTAACGTCAGTAAAACCTACGTTTTCACACAAGCACTTCACTCCTACTTAACGAGTTTTGCAGGTTTACCAGATAAACATGCGACCATATATTGATACATATTTGAATGTAATTTGGTTTCGGGATGTAACCAGGAAAAGAGAGTTTCGACCTTGGCAGCAGGTGGCATCTTGTTCTCTTTTTTTTCTTTTTAGTAACACAATAGTACTATTGTGCTATAAAAAGCAGCATGACGTGTGGCTGTCAGAGTTTGTATTAAGTTTGCTGTCATGCTTTTATTTTTGTGCCTCATCGCCTTCTAATATTCAAAACAATGTGTTACAGCATGAATATGTTCAGAAGGGAGAAAGGATCAACGGCCCCAACTCCGGTGGTTCCACCTCGACCCAGCAACGAGGTACGGAGAGTGTGCTGGAGGTGAGTGGGGTGTTTTCTTTGGTTGCATGTGTTCGTTTTATTGATTGTTCCCTCGATCCACCGCCAGGATCTAGACAACCCCACCGAGCTCAGACGGGACGCGGGAACGACCGCCAGCAGCGAGGTGACATGTGAGCTCGACCCGAAGACCAAGGTGAGTCCCACATCTGTAATATCTTCTCCACCCATATGACACACGAGATCTGGCCCTTTTGTTTGCTCTCCTGGTTCATAGATGTTTATTTTATCATCATTAATCTGTATACACATCAGAGAACGGGGGTGATGGGAGTCATGCACGTGGTCAACCCGTTCAAGTCTACCTCACAGGTAAAAACCTGACGTCATCAAGCAGTAATTGTTGTGTTAAGTGTTATGAATTGTAATGACAGGATTAAACTTTCCCCCTTTTTATTCAGGCCCCCTCCACAGTCGGCAAAGCTGCTTCCTCCGAGTCACTAGAGCAGGGAGCAGACTCCACACAGGTGAGAAGAGCCCACAGTACTTTTACAGTAAGAGGTATTTTTTGTCTTTTTATATATTGGGGTTTGATAGTTTTTATGCCTCTGTGCCGGCGACAAACTTGGGACAAACGTCCCCTCGCAAGACACGTTTTCAGCCATAACACAAGAATTCATATGCTGATTATGTCAATTTAACACAGATGTGTAACAGGATGAAATTAAGAAGTGGTGACATGTTTCACAGCTGTGGATGTAAACATGACTGGTTGTCAGTGGCGAACAACAAGCGAGGCTCTAATTCTAGTTTAGGAAGTCAGCCAGGCTCATTGATTGTGTGTTTTTGTCATTTAGCCACGTACAGCCTGAAGGATAAATTACATTTTCATTTATATTTAAAACTTGTATTTCAGAACCCGGGTATGCTGAAAGGGGTCTTGCACAAAGTCAACCCATTCAAGTCTTCCTCACAGGTAAAAGATGTCAACATGTAACTGATCCAGTTTTGACAGCGTATTGTAAACTATGAATGCACTTTTTGTTCTGTATTCAGGCCTCCGCCCCAGTCAGCAAAGCAGCTTCCTCTGAGTCACTAGAACAGGGAGCCGACTCCACACAGGTGAGAAGAGCTCAAAATATAACTTATTCTATCTCAGAGGTGGAGCAGGTCGTCCACTAATCTCAAGATCGGCTGTTCAGGTGTATTATAAAGTTTTAACCACCATTTAAAAGCTGGTGTGAAAGTGTTAGTTTGAGACGTTTGTATTGGTTCTGTAACATTGGAGTAACCAGCAAGACTATGCTAGATTTAAAAAATATGGTCCAACTAAAAAGCACAGCTCAGTGTTCCCAATGAAAGTAGCTCGCTAAAAGTTGCTGAATCTAGCAAGAAAGTCTCCAAGTCAGGCTTCAGGCCTCCCTCTAAAGCCACTCCCCCAAAATGATGACGATGATTATGATATGATGAGCTTTAAGCTACATGTTGTTGTTTTTTCTTATCACACTAGGTGATCAACTGCCAGCTGTACCTTCCTTTAACACAGCTACATGGGAACTGAACAGGACTACGTGATGTGAATTGACTGCATCCTTTTATGAAACCTGTATTTCAGAGCCCTGGTGCGCTGAGAAGGGTCCTGCAGAAGGTCAACCTGTTCAAGTCTTCCTCCCAGGTAGCGGCGGCGGCGTTGCGCGAGTGTGTTACGGCGGCGTAATGGTCACGATGGTAGCGGATGCTCTGTGTCAGGCGATGAGGCGTCCACTAAGCTGGCTTTTTTCCCCTCACGCAGGTCTCTAAAGCTGCATCTTCAGAGTCACTGGAACAGGGGCGGGTCTCAGACGCTAATCAGGTGGGTGACAGACGACAGAACCACCAACTACTGGAACAGTCTTCCTGTTATAAGCTGCTTCTATTTTCAGTCCTTATATGCAAATGTGTTTAACTTGATGGAGCAACAGGATGTCCTTTTATGGTTGTGTTTCAGAACCCTGGGAAGGTGAAAGGGGTGATGCAGCGATTCATCCCATTCAAGTCTCACGCACAGGTATCATCCATGCATTCAACATGACATCACCAACAATTCACTTTATCAGCAGAATTAGAAGATGCAAACTGACATTAAGGAATTTAAGTTAGAATTAGTCAGTATTGTGAGCACGGTGTGCTTATTTCACCCGACTGTCCCCTCTCGGCTGCAGGTGCCACCGAGCGATCCTCAAAACGACGCTGCTGATCCACCAGAGACGGGGACAGACCGCCCAGGCAAACAGGTAAGCACCGTGTCCGCTCTGCTGTACGTACAGTCCATGGTTCTAACAGGCACACTGACTCGGCTTGTTCACGTGCTTGTACTTCGGTTGTCCATTTTGATGTATTTATCGTTAAGAGTCCAGGGATGATTGCAGGAGTGATGCACAAAGTCAACCTATTGAAATCTGCTCAGCCCAAGGTACCAGCTGTGATGCTGACGATGACACCGAAGGGATGTTTGGGAGAGGGAACCGGTCCGATTGACCGCGCTTGCTTTCATACTCACCTCTTCACATTCTGGGTTTGTTGAGTTTGGTTGTCTCGTGTTCTGGTTTCATGCAGGATAACCAGCCTCTACACGGTGACCTCTCCTCCAGCAGCGGAAGCTTGTCAGACGTTAAAGATGCGCCAGAGAAGCAGGTAGGTCTGTGATCAGTGTTGCTCCTGCTACTACCACAAGGTGGTGCCACACACAAGAATTTCAGTCTTCAGAGTGATCCTGACTATTTAAAATATTTATTGAGTTTTTGTTTCTGCATACAACCAAAAGTATTGTGCATGTTAACTGACTGTTTTACAATCTGTATTGTGGGTATTTCATGTCCCACAATACCTTTTAATCATTACATGCATGTTTCCCCCAAAAGTGAGTGGTTTGCCCCTCTGTGATTTGTGTTTTCTGCTTCTTTTTTTGTGTATTCTTTACTGTTTTACATATACCTCCTGTATACTACTTTGTTTTTATAGCATATGCATATAGAATAATAATGATCAATGGAGAATAAGATCTACTCATTTTTGTATTCTTTTCAGAACCCTGGGATGTTCAAAGGGATGATGCAGAAAGTGAACCCCTTTAGGTCTCACACACAGGTACTGTACACAAGATGAAGCTCGTTATCTCTTTCAATTATACATTTTGTAATTGCATGTTTGCTTTGAACAACCTGGGTTAAGGGACGCAGTTGACGACCAGCTTTGTGAGGTTGTTTTTCATTGGCTGCTGCAGGGACGTCGTCTCTTTGGAGGACTTGTACGCCTGTGTTAACCCCAGAGACCTTTATTTCAGGTTTCTAACCAAACCCTATTAAATAAACCCAATGATCTAAAGACGAGGGAACAGGAAGTACAAAAATCGTTCCTGCAGCATTCCAAGTCGTCCATATTGGACTTATTTCCCGTAAAGGAACAGCAGCTGGTTGGTTTTGTTTCACACACAGAAGCTGGGCGAGGAATGTCAGACAGACGCTGCGGTTCCCATCACACCTTCTTCATTCGTGACACAGGTACAAACTGCAATTGAAGTGTTTTTCCAGAGATGACCCAGATGATGATGAAGATTCTTGAATCCATTTTTTGATGTTTCAGTTCACTCCTCATATATAGTGTTCATAATTGCCCGGTGTATCATAGATATAAGATACCAGCAACAATACTTCATGATCATGATTCATTTGCTCTTTTGATGTCAATCAAATTTATATATATATTCTTTTTGTTTATCAGGAAAGCCAAATGATTGACAGCGAGCACTCCTCCGGCTCTGACAGTGCAGATGACAGCACCATAGAAAGACACGTAAGACATTAAGTTCATCTCGCTGTCTTTGAATTCATTTTTAAAATACGGTTTGTGGTTTTACAAGGAAGTAATAGTGAAACCATGCAGTCCAGCCAGACACACCGAAAGCAACTGCCAAAGGAGGCGACGTGCCAACTAACCTTGAGCAAACAACGATGGCTTGTTTTACATGGAGGTTGTTTAGGAGTGTCTGACATGAGCCAGGCAAGAACAGGTCTTCAGAAAGACGAACCTCTACGTATCCAATCTCATCATTTCTGGAATGATGAGATTATAACTGGAGGCTCGTTGTGGTGATCTTTGAGTCACTAGGACTTCATCACAACAGTGAATGAATCTTATAGCCCCTGTAAGCGTGAAAAACTGTTAGCAAAGAGGTCGTTGCAGGCTCCGTGCATAAAGCGTCAGTTTGCAGCTACTTAAAACCTTAATTGTGATCTTATTTATGTGCAGTATTCAACGTGAGGCACTTCTGACGCCATCATGTGTCGTAACCTCCTCAGTCAATGAACTATTTTCTCATCTTCTCCGTAGACTATTTGGTATGCGGACGCTGACGACAGCGGCGAGGTGAAAAGCCAGCTGACACAGGCCCCGAAGAAAAGAACTATGGTATGTTAGACAGGGATTTAGGTCGGGGGGGCTGTGCTGTAGCGGGCTGTAAAGTTCTGTACTCTTTCTTCTCTAGACTTTCAGAATAAGGAGGATTCTGCCCACTGCATTGTTTGGGTCTGGAACAGAGGTACTAAATGAACTGGTCCAATCCACATTTTCTCTCCATTACATAATTGATATTTACTACACTTTAAGTTAAATAACAAAAAGACGTTTAGCTGTTGATGGATGGGAATGCTTTCTCCATCATAGTGTCATAGTGCAGTTTTTGCCTCCATTCCTTTTGAGTGATTTAGTTTTTTTTGCTCCACAGGACTCATCGTCCGACACTCAAGCACCGCCCCAGGTGAGTCAGCTTCGTGTGTAACGCACCTTTCTAACACACAATTCACTGCTTTACATAAAAAAATAGTTTTAATAGAATGAAATGAAATAAAACCCCAAAAGTAGACGCAATACAGCTTGAGTGCTATCAATGGATGGATGGAGGCAGGTTAAATATCTTGATAACGGTGTGGTTAGACCCTTTATTTGCCCGTGTAACATGGCAAAACATCTGTTGTATCATTCCGTACCATAGGCTTACTGTCTTGTATACTAATGACTTTTTCGTGACTTTTGACATATTACGATTGTGTGTAGCTACCATTTAACGGCTCTAAACACAGTCTGTAGTCAGTGTGCTGTATTTCTCTGTTTTAGGAAGTAGTGGAAGTTCAGACACTAGAGTTGGCTGAAGTGCCAAGTGAAGGAACAGCCCTGGACCCTCTAGACGTAAGCTTGTTTCTTGTGTCTTATAACATTACATCACATGCTTGTTTCATGTGTGTGTATTTCATTTCCCTGGAGGCTACATGCTGAATTATTCCAATGAGTTTCAAATTGTTTACTTGCAGGATGAAGAAGGCCTTATCGGGTGGTGGAGAACAGTAGAAGGTATGCTTGATATTGACAATGTGTTGTTTATATATTGGTGGTCCTGCTTATTAATTGAATTTATACACACTATAATTATGTGTTAGGCTGGGATGAGTGGAATGAAGACAGGCAGAACGACGAACCTGAAGAGTAAGTACCGCATTTATTGACGTTACCAATTTAGCAATATTAACGGGAACAAATCTGCCTTTTAAAAAGAAAATACTTGAACTGAATATTGCATTACAATAAGAGTTTCTCCTGTAAGCCTGTTTCCTTGTTTCCTTGTCTCAGAGTGGTGGAACAAGCAGCTGATCGTGTCTTCATGGCGGCGCGTCTTTTCGTCCGCTTCTTCAACCAGCGTGGCGCCGTACTCCAGCAGCACATCCTGGAGCTCATGTCTTTGGCTGACTCAGCGGACATTTTCCATAAGAAAACCGTCAAGGGCAGCGTCGGCGGCGGGGTCGCCAGTGTCGCAGGGTCCATCACGACCATCACCGGCCTCATTCTGGCGCCCTTCACTGCGGGAGCGTCGCTCATCGTCACGGCTGTAGGCATCGGGGTGGCGACTGCAGGCGGGGTGGCTTCCGCCTCAGCCAACATCACCGACATGCTCCATTCAAAGACGGACCGCAAGAAGGTGGAGAAGATCATCCAAGACTACGAGGAGGAGATGAAGGATATCAAGGAGTGCCTGGAGTTCTTGCAGGTGAGAAGATAAAAAGCAGAACAAACCCTTTCTTTCTTATACAAATACTGTCTTCCTGCAAATATATCGGATTGGATTGAACACATGGGGTTTAAATTTGATGTAAAATCTCTTATCTACCCGACAGGAAGGGATGGAGATGCTTGATGATTGGAACTTTGAAGAGTACGTTGAGAACATCTCGAAGAAGCACCTCAACCAGAACGTCAAACATGTAATGAAGGAGGGCGGCCGGGCCGGCAAGGCTCTGGTGATCAACACGGAGAGCCTGATCAGCACCGTTCAGGTCCTCAGTGTTGCGGGGGACGCTGCTAGAGCCGTCCAGGTGATGAGCCTCACCACCGGAGTGATGTCTGGTCTCTTCCTGGCTCTCGATGTCTTCTTCCTGGCAAAAGATGCCAAGGAGCTCAAGAAGGGAGCCAAGACGGAGTTCGCAGCCAAGATTCGAGAGGTTTGTAAAGACCTGCAGGACGGGCTGCTGGAGCTGAACCGCATCAAGGAACAGCTGCAGAAAACCATCGACGGGATAGAGGTGGAGGTAGACGAGGGGGAAGAGGACGAAGAGCTGTTGAAGTCTGAGCTGAAAAAACTTGTTGAGTTTGAATAAAAGGACAGCGGTTAGAAAACAGTGATTACTGTAACTTTCTCAACAATAGTATATATATTTATATTAGTAGTAGTTAAATTATGAGTATGTACATTGCGTCATGTTGAATTAATGTCACTTTATTTGCAATAAAAATGGTTCCCTGCTTATTTGTCTGGCTCAGTTGTGACAGGTAAGAGCTCGATCCCAAGTAGACCAGTAGAGGGAGGATGTGTATATAAAGAGCAGGAGTCGGGGCTGGGTGAGGCATGACCACCTTGTGCTCAGAGAGTGAGTCACTAATAATGCATGACAGTCAGGCCAGGCAGGATCGTCTACATTCTTTCTTTCAAAGATACTGCCTATGTAAGGAAATCTTGCCCAATTTTCATGACGTAATCCGTGGCAGGTAGCCAGAAATTCCATCTTTATGAGGGAGTATCTCGTTCCACGTCGAGCATACGTGCTTTCAACCAGGTTAAAAGAAAAGCGTTCAGTAACTGGGAATGACATAATGGGCTGCCCACTGATTTTTATTTTGCAGTTAATTGCTCCTGCTGTCTATACTGGCAAACAAATCCCTCTCCTGTGTGTTTACAATGTCTGTGATTGACATAATCCACACTCCTGGTTCAGTGAGGAGGCTTCAGCAGTCTCAGTGAGAGATTAAGTATCTTCCATAATTAGTCTTTTTAGAAGCAACTTCCCTCTTTGTGCTTCCATGATCTGAGTCACAACTCTAGGATGCCATTTTGGTTCATTTAGTTTTTTGAATTTGACTTTTTTTGTAAATGTCTTGCTTTCTATTGACTTTGATGAGGTCACGGGTGCTCCATTTGATTGGTGGACTCTATAAAGGCTGATCAGAAAGGGTCCATTGGAATACTCACTTGTTCCGGTGCCGCAGAGCTTGCCACGCTCAGTTGGTTGAGATGTTAAATGAACCTATAGACCGGCCTGCATAAACAAGTTGATGGTCACAATGGAGGAAAAGTAATGTTTGGAAGATTCATCTAACTCGGACTGTAATATTTGTGCCCGAGCACCAACAATTGAATTCATTGTAAGAGTATTTCATTATCCTCTTAGAGAATGTTGGCGAGCAGCTTATGGAGCTATTATATAAACACATGATCTCATCCGAGCCTACACAAATACAGATGATGAATACAACACAGAACAAAACGGATGCTATTGTCTGTATAAACAAAGATAAAACCAAAATAGTTTAGATTCACTGATGTTAAAGACCAGAACTCTAGGTGTAGTTATGGATTCAGACCTCAACCTGAACAGCCACATCAAGACGATTACAAAATCAGCCTACTATCACCTGAAGAACATATCAAGGATTAAAGGACTTATGTCTCAACAGGATTGGCAAAAACTTGTCCATGCATTTATCTTCAGCAGACTGGACTACTGTAACGGTGCGTTTACAGGTCTCTGTAACAAGTCAATCAGAATGCTGCAGCTGGAGTCCTCACTAAGACCAGGAAAGTGGATCACATCACTCCAGTCCTGAGGTCTATGCACTGGCTTCCTGTCCAACAAAGAACTGACTTTAAAATCCTGCTGTTGGTTTATAAAGCACTGAATGGTACATATCTGACCTGCTGCTACCTTATGAACCATCCCGACCCCTCAGGTCGTCTGGGACCGGTCTACTTTCTGCTCCACATATCTGGAACAAAGTCCCAGAAAGCTGCAGGTCTACTGAGACCCTCAGCTCCTTTAAATCAAGATTGAAGACTTTTCTGTTTGCTGCTACCTTTACTTGAACCAGATTCAAGGATATTAATCAATTTCTGAATTTTACGAGTGAATTTTATTTATTACACTGCTTTTTAGTGTTTTAATGAATGTTCTTAATTGTTTTTAAATCTCCTTTTCTTTTGTTTGATGTTTTGAATGGTTTTATGTGAAGTACTTTGAATTACCTTGTTGTTGAAATGTGCTATACAAATAAACTTGCCTTGCCCTGTTGAAATTAAGGACCGCGCCTTAGCGGCCCAATTGTTCGATTGATTGATCGTATGCTCGTGGTTACTGACTACAGCACAGCTGAAGGACAACCACGGCTCCTTTGAAGTTTCCACATTGCCTAAATGAAATCAGCAGTTTGTCTACTTACACAACCAGCAGAACCACAACACACATCTCTGTCCATCTAGAAAAGAATAAAGAGTGGAGACAATCATACAATAGATACACAGGCTGGAAAAATGAAAACGTGAGATAAAAGCTTACACATTATACTCGCACTTTTGATTCTGTGTTAATATTTTAAATCTAACAGCGTATGTTACAAATAAAGGAAATGAGACGGAATATTTTTTGGTTTTCGGGAAGTTAGGTGTCGTAACATTTCCCATCATGACAAGAATTCCTAGAATAATTTAGTGTGAAGCGGAAAGAATCAGGGAGTGGTTTACCAACAGCTGACTATTTGCCCCATTTGAAGAGCCTTTAGGTCATCAAAAGTCTTAAAAACACACTTTAAGAAGGCATATCTAGATTTGTCTTGTTTTACCCATTCAATTTAATGGATTTTTTTTCTTTCATTTCTTTTGTGGCGTTTTACCAAATTCACCCTGTTGTTTCCGTTATCGTGGTTTTCACTTTGCTGTTTTGTGTGTAACATAGGGGTGGGTATAAGTATGCAATGTTGAAATATTTAAAATATCCTTTTCGGAGCTCTATCTTAATTGGTGAAATCCTATATATGTAGTTTTAGTAATATATCAAGGGCTTTATTCAGAAAATTGTACATTTCTTTTAAGTCAGGAACAGCAGAGTTAAGCAGCGTGCACTAAGGTAAAGCAACTTCCTACTTCTCAGACAGCTAAGGTTGCACAAGGAACAGGCATTTAGGAGTGGGGACAAGGACATGTATGAAGAGGCCAAATACAGGTTTAGTGAGGCAGTGAGAGACACTAAATGACAGCACCCTGAGAAACTGCAACACCAGTTCTCAGCAGGTTACTCTGCTTCTGTCTGGAGAGGCCTCAGACAGATCACCAGCTACAAGCCTAAGCTCCCCCACTCCATGAATGACCTACACCTGGCAAACGAGCTGAACGAGTTCTGCTGTTGCTTTGAAAGACAATGGGACAGTCCTGACCCCATCCATGCCTCTGTACTACCCATCCCAGTAACCCAGGACCTCAAGTGGGAGCTGAAAATCAGCTCCATCCCCAAGAGGGCTGAGCAGAGGATGTACTTCCTTTGGCAGCTGAAGAAGTTCAACCTGCCAAAGACAATGATGGTGAACTTCTACACAGCCATCATTGAGTCCATCCTCTGCTCCTCCATCACGGTCTGGTACGCTGCAGCCACTGCCAAGGACAAGGGCAAACTGCAGCGTATCATTCGCTCTGCTGAGAGGGTGATTGGATGCAATCTCCTGTCCCTCTAAGACTTGTTTGATTCAAGGACCCTGAAGCGAGCAAGAAGGATTGCAGCCGACCCCTCTCACCCTGGACATAGACTGTTCTTGCCCCTTCCATCTGGCAGGAGGCTGCGGTCCATCAGGACCAAGACCTCACACCACATGAACAGTGTTTTCCCTTCTACAGTTGGGCTCATCAACAAAGCCCAGGACCCACTGTCATCCCCAGGACTATTTCCTACTCAGTCATTCCTCACAGATATCCTCCATCCTAAATGTTTGGACCTTAGCTTTATGTACAACAAACAAAAGGGACCACTCAAACCAGTCTGATGCAGTAGTTTATGAGGTGCTTCGCCACTGTTTAGTTCTGTTGCTTTATCACGTTTTCAAAAATACAACCGTCTGTCATTTTGTACAGCGATAACACAAATGTATTATGCATTGTTCATTAACAAAATATTAACAAGTGTATCTTAATGTTGTGCACCATCCACCATGTCAACTTTGGCAAGTAAACGGTTCTGATTCTGATTCTCATGAATATTAATAATAACAATGAATAGGCCTTGTGAACATTGGAATGAATGGCGTCAACCAAATGGTCTTTGAGTATCATGCTTTGATAAAATGATATTTACGATTGACATAAATGATGTGGGCTCAAGAATTTAGGCACGCATCCTGTTCTTCTGCAGTGACGAACTCCTTCTTATCACTACACTGGAAACAGAAATACAGACTTGTTTTGTGTCGATGTATGAATTCCACACCAACGTATCTGTCCGGTTCTGTGAACACCACCGGCTAGATTAGACAGATTAATAGATCTTGACATGTGGCCAAGACATTAGAAGACACCATCAATCTGCCATCTTCTATTCATCACAATCTCTGAACACAATGTGGCAGTGATACAGACCAACAAGCGGAGCTGGATTTGCGACTTCACTTAACTTTCAACCTGCCATGAGCAAACAAGACACTAACATCACATTGCTGCGGGGTTAGGAACAGGGTTGAGCTTTCCAAAGACCTTTGACCATAAAGAACCTTTCAGCTTTTTTCGCAATCAATGCAGTTCAAGTTACAGGAATAAACATTTAGAATGTGAATATTTTATTTTAAATATATAAAGGATGTGGTCACGCCCTTTCTGTCTTGTACAGCATGGTTAACCAAACGTACACAAATCCAGTCAGGCGAGCTCGACCCTCCCTACAGCGCTCGCAGCTGCTCCACACGTTTGAGAATTTCAGACATGGATGCAACAGACATTGGCTGAGATCTCTTCGCTTTGGCAGAGGCATCAATGCCAAGTATCGTCATGCACTCGCATCAATAGCAACACGGGAAATATTAACTCGCACACCCACCAAAGAAATGCAAACATGGAGAACATTGTGGTTGCAGTATGGAGCCTCCCTCTCTCTCTTGCATAATATATAAAGGACTGTGCCTAATTCCATCTATCACACACTGCAGCAGTGTTGCTTCAAGAAAGGCGTAGACAAATATTTGGTATATGATATTTGTGCAGGCTATAGCCTTATGTACGCACGTAAGCACACTGTAAACAGACCGCGGGTGTCAGCAAAGTGCTCTGATGTACGGAGTCCCTCTCAGAAGCTTGAGAGGGAAGTAAGATAATTCCCATCATCCCTTCCATTAGTTGAAAATGAAAGTGACAGCAGAGATTGTGACACCGTGTCCTGACAGTAAGCGCTAGGTGTTTTCATTTAATCAAACAACTTCCCTATCAGCACAATGAAATGATAAAACTCATTTTATATATTTACTGGAAATGACGAACAAAATAGCCAATAGAAAGTTGTTGTTCTTTGTGGTGAAATGAGGAGGTATCGTGTAAACATTAATCCTCATTTCAACTTCACCAATCAACTGTTCCCCGTCAGTTTGGACACGGTGTCATGGCCATAATTGACCAATTTTGACAGCCCTGGTCTATCCACGAAACTATAGAAGAGTGACTAACAGTGAGAGACGGTTATCACCAGGCACACCTGCTGGTCCACATACCTTTACCTCACCTCTACATATGTCTTATGTCTTTAAAAGTTCAATTGACAATTTAAAATAGCAACCCCCCCCCCCCCTCCCCCCCATGTCACTGTTTGAAATAATTCATAGAAATGCTCTTACATCACAAAACAACTTTCAAGTCTGGGGGGACCTAAAACCAGTTTTAAAGGCTCTGCGGAAAACCTAAGATTAACATATATATACCAAAAATGTCGACCTTTATTATTCTTACACTGTACGGCAGAAGCTGTTAATACATTCTGAAGACGTCATTGTGGGGTTTACAACACTTTCATGTCACATGGTTTTAAATTTTGTGATGTGACACATGGAAGTTTTGAGTGCAACTTACGGGAAAATCACAAGACTAGTTTCATAGTAGAAATACTTTTCTACCATGCCAAGCAAACAGGTCGAGGACATTACCGAGGATTTATCAATGAAGTATTGTATTCACTATTAATTAGTTTATAGGAGCTTTATTTTCAACAGTACTGGATTGTTTTAGGTCCTATACCTAAACATATTGGTTCATTAACTCTGCCGGTACGATACATACCCAACAGCTACTCGAGCTACTTATGGTTGTCATTTCATTACACATCCCATTTGCAGGGAGAATAAACAATCTTTCTGCTCCCTAACACATTGTAAACATCTACTCCCATTAGTTATATTACAGCAGTTCAGAGTTGCCTGTGCACGCCCGATCAAAAGACAGGGGGGATAAATGCACACAAGAAACCAGAACACAAAGGCCATATTGAAGTTAACACAAGAGGTGCGCTTTTTCGGACAAACCAGTTCTGGAGCATTGTGTCACCAGTCTCATGACTGGTTTCACACATGTCACTATATTCATGCACCCACACCCACACCCACACACACACACACACACACACACACACACACACAATCTTGTGCTGTCTGAAACTGGTGGAGAAATCTAACTAAAAGGTTGGTAATTGCTGTAGTATTAGTCAGCTATGTAATAACTAGAAGGCACCTCTAATACTGAACAGTTCATGCACATGCTGAGACACTCAGTGACTTAATTTCTAATCATTTGAATTGACTAGATTTGAATCAGAGCTACGCAGACTCATAGCGTAGCATCAGCCAGCAATGACTAGGGTTCAATTTCATATTGCACATAGTACATATTATATTATAAAAACTAAGATGTTGTTGAATAAAACATGGAGGAAAACAGTGTACATAGTGTTTGTTTCCTTGTCAAACATTTAGAAAGTACACAGAGGATTAAGATGTGCAGTGACATGGCAGAATTCCAATCAAGCCCGCCTTCAAGCCTTTATCCCAAGCCCCACCCTGTAGAAACATCATCCATGACTCTTCCCACACCTCATCGTTTAAATAGTGACACAGGGATTTACAGGTGTCACACCTTTACCTGGGATCCAGCTAACAACATCGGAGGAGCAAGCAGCCCATCTATCAGCCACACCGGAGACTAAAACTACGCAAGATCTTCGTTTCACGGGACTTGTTTTGCTTCTCAACCCAATTTCACCCATCGTTGGAGCTGAAGACAATATCTACAGGTAGGCTTGAACAATGCAATACATTGATATTTATAACTTTTAAAGAAATGTAACATGAAATACTTGTAATCAGTTTTTTAAAATAAAATTTAGGTTTCTTTTGCAAAGTCAAAATTTACATCATATATATCTATATATATATATAACGTTAATTATCTATTTTCGTTATTTGAATTACCAAGAGTAACTATAAAGGGCAATCCATGCTTATAATTACTAAGAATATTGTACGTAATTGATAAGTGTTATGAGCATTTTAGTAATATCAAGCAAAGTATAATTATTATGATTAATCTCATATATTTATATCCTAAATTATAATTTGTTAACAAAATTGATTTAAAAAAAACACAGTAAGCTAAATTAATGTTAGACGTGGACCTGTGTTAATGGAAATACGTTCATGTTGATTATAGTAAATATTGGTTAACATATTAATCAACATTTCTGTTATAGTAAATCTTTTTGATTTTGATTATTAAGGATGCCATCATTAAAAATGTTTCTTCTTTAGTAACATCTAGTTCAATATTTCTCCTTTTATTATTGACTCTGAGCCCACTTGATACAATCTCTTAACGACATAATTAGCCGTAGAATAAGTATTATATTGCTTAAGTGAATAATCTTATCCCACCCAATCCAGGCATGGACAACAGACTGGTCCTCACTGTCCTATTTGTGACGCTGTCCTGGATGTCTGCGGGAAACTGCGTCCAAGCAGCAGGAAACACAACAATTGCGGCAAACGTGACAACACCTGCGGCAAACATAACGAGTGCAACAAACGTGACAACACCTGCGGCAAACATAACGAGTGCAACAAACGTGACAACAGCAGCAGGAAACAACACAACGGCAGCACCAACCACAGGTCCCCCACTGACGACTAACACCACAGTGGAAACTCTTGAGGTGAGTGATGCCAAAAAAATAGAGCATAGTGGAATAGAATAGAACTGAATTTATGTTCATTGATGGTGTTCAACATCATCAAAGTGCACATTTCGGACCTAATCAGAAGTTTGTCATGTCCCTTGCAGACACCCGTTTCTAGGACAGGGTGTGGGAGCCAGAGGCTTTGTGGGACTCAGCCCACAGGCTGCGACCCCTCTGCCAACAACTCATGTTTCTTTGCTAGTTTCAAGCAGAGGGGCAATTCAAGAAATTTTGAGATTGAGGTCTCAGGAGAGTCAGATGGCTACGTCGCTTGCACCCTGTCACGTGACAGCACACTGGTATGTCAAGTTCTGTCACTCACTCACAGATGAAAGTAGCTTGACGGCTAACCCAAAGCTAATCCTAGAGTTTGTTTGAAGTCATCTGTGTAAACAGGTAATTAACCATTTCTGGTTTTCAACCACAGGGAGGAAATGACACAACCTATGTCTGTGCAAATAACAACGGTGCAGTTGAATTCTTTGGCGCTCTCCTCAACAACAACCAGCTGACTAAGACAACGGTGAGAGAGTGTATAAAGGTTCCATTCAGCAACGTTATGTTTTTTATATTAATACACCCCAAACTCATTTGTCTCCTTGGTCATCTTTCACATTTGTCTTTGCAGCTGAACGTGAACTCTGTGAAGGGCAAAGTCAATGGAAGAAAAATCCAGTGTACATTTGCTGCCACTGCACCACCACCCTTAGTCACTAGAGCAGGAGAAAGTTTCGCAATCGGAATCAGTACTGGACCCTTCAGTAAGTCAACATAGTGGAGACACACATACACACACATCATATGCACTTTAAACAGCCAACTAAGACCCACTTTCACAGAGACTATCACAGATCATATATTAATACGTTCTCATGTGGTAGAAAATGGTTTTGTATTTTGCTTGCTTTTTCAGCTAATGGTACCCTGGGAACCTCCACCTCTAGATTTCTGAGTCCTCTTGTAGACGTGTCAAATTCTAACGGCACCGCTATCAATACCCTCAACGCCAACACCACCACCACCACCGCGTCCCCCAATACCACTAGCCACGGCATTACACTCCGGCAATCTCTGACGCAAGGTAAGTCAAGGTTGTTTTCCTCAAAAGTTGTCCTAAAAGTGTGTTCGAAGAATGCAGAATAAAACATATTTTTTCTGTCCTCCCCTGTAGCTGTGCTGATGACTGTGGGTGTGCTCTCTCTGGCCATGCTTTGAGGAAACTGAAACCCCCAAGACAAGAAAACCATAACACTCCTATTTACATATGTGTGCTACTGGATACAAACATCTCAAAAAGAGGTTTCCCATATGCAATGCACCCAACATTAATTGGATAAATGCTTGATTGTGTATCAACTTACTGAAAGTAGCAGTGATGGAGGGCGATCACTCTTCTACAGCCTTTGAGACTCCTTTCACATCCATGGAGGTGCTGAAACAAAAAAAACAAGTAAATCATTTTAAAGGGTTTTTAATTTAATATTTAATCCATTTTGTTAGTTTTGTAACCATGTGACTGCTGCATTTCTGTCCTACCAGTTACTCAATTGCAGGCAAATATGTTGACTTTATTCCTTAGGTCAAAATCAATCGTGTGGTTAGAATGGGATACAAATGTGATGCACAATTACAACAAAATCAAATCTGTTTAACCATAGATGTTGTGCTATATTTAAAAAAAAATGGTTTGGGGTGTGGTTACCTTTTATGCTCACAGTCATGAACCTTGATATTGTCCTGTTTATTATTATCTGGCATTATTAAGGACTATAGTTATGTTTTGCTGTGTGTGTCACTACACATTAACATTCATGGTTTGTCTCTGTTGACACACAAGACAAAGAAACAAAGTATTTTCTCCTCTTGAAGAATGATACTAGAAAATGGCAGAAATGTGTGTTTACATTATGTTACCATGACAATGATATTCTCTTTTGTGTGAATGTACATATTGATGACTCAACAAAACTTTCCCAATGAAGCCTTCATTGGCTGATATTTTAATTTGTGTCCGAGTGCAAGTAGCCTACACATGCAAATGAGCAGTTGCTTTTAAAGATTGCTATATATATATATATATATATATATATATATATGATACCAAATATTGGTGAAACACACTTTGCACATTTTATTATGTAACAGCTGACTTTTGACTACATATTTTGGAATAAATATTTTATGTAAACTGATTATCTTAGTAGCTTTAATACACCCGAGACTGTATCCCCCCCAACAAGCAGAGACGAAGATCTAAATCGGAACCTTTACTATCAAAAAAACAAAACTTTGCTGATTTAAATTCCCATGAAATTTGTTTTCAGCATTAGCACAGGTCATTTTAATAATCTTATGTAATGTATTTAGAATAATTAGTCAGATATACAAGTACCATACAAGATGAAGTCGTATAACGAAAGCATCAATGGTGGCAGTAACACAAATATATTTATTGTTACAGTGTAAGAGACATATTGAGAGATTAAATGAGTAAGTACGTCAAGATATGGGAGGCTGATTTCAATCAACGTTACTCTTACATTTCAGGTCAGTAGAAACAGTATCACAGCTAACTACCTTTTTAAGATATTGTTGTGGTCAAATATTTGTTTTTTAAATGTGGAAAAATCTTATATCTTATGTATAAATTACATAGCGGTTAGCTGGTATCACTGATATAGGGGTAGCCATAGCATAGCCTAGCAAACACTTAACTGGTCGTACAATGAAACCAGCTAGCTTAGTTAAGCTACTTTGAAGCTAACTCAGCTGCACAAGCAGATAGCTCGTTAAATTATTATATATTTATACTGTACATAGTAGTTAAATGCTCAATTTGTATGCTTCGTTTCTCTGTTCTACTTTGTTGTCTTTAATGTCCTTGTTTTTATATTGTTCTTGTTTATTTGTATATTCCATGTATGTATGTTGTGAGCAATGTGTAAACCGGAGTCAAATTCCATGTATGCGAACATATACATGGCCAATAAAGTTGATTCTGAAATGTATGCAAGGGATGTAAGAATGTCTTTGTACTGTACAGCAAGGCAGTAGGCCTACTTGTGAAAAGGTGTGTAAGTTAGCATCTCATCTATGTATTTTTATTAGTTATTTCGGGATGATCACTTTTAAACATGTGACAATTCAAAATTGTCAAATATTGTCATTCAAATTACCCTTGGATAAAAAGATACTGTGACATAAAACAAACCAGTGTACCTATTTTAAACACTAAAAAAAGATTATATATTTGTTTACACGGATCTATACAAGAGTTGATAATTGTTGTATTAACTTAACAGTTTTTTGAACACTGACATTTTCAGCCAAATCTTAAACTAATATTGTCAAGCTGATAAATGCTATACTTTCATGGGAGATTTGTTACACCCTTGGCATCATTACACTTTTGAAGCATATTTTTACGGCACCTTAAATATGCTAAATTCCAAATTCAGAGCGTAGAGGACTGCCTATATGCAGCAAATGTTTTCATTTTGAGGGAATAATGTAACTTTTGGGAGGCATTTGTCCAACATGAATCATCAATGCAGATGCAAGAGTGATTCGCAGAAAGCTGATGTCTATCTGGGTGTGTTGTCCTTCATGCAAACATCGCTGACTACAAATTTGCATGTTCTCATGTACCAGAACAAATCATCCAATACAGTACGTGATTGATAACACTCAGAGGAAAACTCCAAAGACAGCTAGTAGGTCTGCCTACATTCAGTCTTAATTGTTTTTTCATTAAGGTTTTTATAACCTTCTTCCTCGGATTGCCTCCAAAGCCATGAATGTGAGTAGTCAGCACATCTGGATCCTCATTGGTAAGTCACAATATGTTGAGCTATAACGTTGATTTATTTATTATTATTAATATTACCATTACCATTATTATCTTAATTGTTTTTTGAATTAAATATTATTTTTATTTGAATTGTTTTATATCTTTTCAATCAAATCAATCGAAATACTTTTAAATATAGTTTCCAATGTCAGATGACTTAAAGCTGCAAACTATACCAGAATTTTTTTTAAAACAAGGTGACAGATACACAGCCACCCCCTAATTCCCAGTACTTAAACTTGTAATTGCTAGTCACCCAACATTACCATTTAAATGGGGTATTGTGTCACTCAAAAGTCCAATATTCATGTTTTCTTTGGTGCTATATTTTAGTCTCATTATCATACCCATATCATTTTATAATTGAGAGGAAATCGAGGACATCACTAACTATGTTGTCTAATCCCTTAACAGGCATTTCCCTCATGCTGACATCTGGAGTGCTGGCAGGTAAACTTTTTTTTTCTTTTCCCATCAACACGTTCTGTGGTTTTCTTATCTTAAAATTATTTTCTTTGCCAATAAGGTACCCTTCTCCAAAATGTGGCACTGAATCAAAAAGCTGTCCAGTCTTCACAACGCGGCACCTCGGGTGCTGCTGGCGGGGCAGTTGATGGGAACAAAGACGTGAGATTTGAAAAGGGATCCTGTACCCTCACCGAAGAAGAGTCTGATCCCTGGTGGAGGATGGACTTGCAGAACGTGTACAACATTACTGCTGTAACGATAACCCAACGAGATTTGAGTGAGAGCTTGCTGATTGGTGGTGAAATCTGGATCGGAAACTCAACAGATGCCAATGACACCGAAAACGTCAGGTGACACAGCTCGATAAGTACCTGCATCCTACATCTCCCGTTGTGATACGAGCAACCTTTTTGTTCTTCTCACCTCCTCTTTTCTTCTCCGCATAAAGGTGTGCAGTCATCGCGAACATCTCAGCTAGACTCACGTTCCACTTTTCATTCAGGTAGATAGAGGGACGCTACGTCACTGTGCTTCTCCCAGGGAGCCAGAGGACTCTAAGTCTCTGCGAGGTTGAGGTGTTCCCTGTAGACTACGGTAATTATACATTAAAGCAGATTAGTGCAGTGTGCATTTTCTATGCCCATTCCTCTGTTGCTGTTATTCATGTATGTAGCCATATTTCTCTTGCTCCGGCACAGAAACATGACAATCCCCCTTCCACCCAAGTTCTGATTGATCAAATGTCTCTCTAACCAGGAAACAAATACAGCTGATAGTGAGCACCAGACCTATTTGAATCACTGAACAAATCAGAGATGTGGCCAGTAATGAAATGGTCTGGAACCAGGCTAACTGTCGAGCTCAGAGCCTCTTGAGTTATTATTACCCTCTCCTCTATTGGCAAGGGTGCTGACTTTGGTGAAATTGTTTTTCTGAAAATACCCCCTCGTACCATGAATGTCCATGCACTTGATTCATCGTTGCGATGGCGACATGACAGACCAACCACAAGGAATGGAATCAATCTAACCATCTGTCTGTTTCTTTGCTTCTAGTGCATCCTTTATCCAACGTGGCACTGAAAGGAGACGCCACGCAGTCGTCGACACTCCCGTTCGCTGCTGCCGCCAGAGCCATCGATGGGAGACGGAACTCGTTCTACAGCAGCGGGTTCTGTAGCCACACTGCAGAGGACGAGGCCAATCCCTGGTGGAGGGTGGACCTGCGACGAACACATGTTGTCATATCTGTCAAAGTCACTAATAGAGGAGACTGCTGTGCTGAGAGACTGGATGGAGCCGAGATCCGAATCGGGAACTCGCTGGAGAACAACGGAAACAACAACCCCAGGTGCTAACAAGAACTTCAGAACATACAGCATTCAATGTACATTTCTTTTATTATCTGACTGTTATTAGAGCAGCAATATTTCAGTGTTCGCATGATGCAACATAACCTTCCTGCAGTGGCAAACTTCCACTGAGCAGTTACAAGAAAAAACATGATAGCTGTAGGCCAATGCTAAATACATGAGTTCCTCAAAAGTCATTTTCTAATCTAGCTCATGATCAACTCTCTTACTTCACAATCACCACCACTCTATTTTCATATCAACCTGGCGAAATTCGAGGGCTTTAAAAACGTGAACTCATTCCCAGATTTCAAGACTTTGTGTTGTTCTCTTTTAATGAGGAGGCCCCACAAGACAACCAGATAACCAAGACAACTATTCCTCCAACTCCCTCCACTGTCAGGTGTGCTTCCATCTCCCACATCAGAGCAGGTAAAACCAACACGTACCGCTGTGGCGGAGGACGCATGGACGGCCGCTTCGTCAATGTGATCATCCCCGGAGAGAGAAAGACTCTCACCCTGTGCGAAGTGGAGGTGTATGCTGCCCCAGCAGGTACAACTATAACTGACTGGCTTTGATTTATTGAAACACAAGTCTGACATTGATGCATTTGTTTTCGTTCTTTTTTTTTTTTACTTTAGTGGAACCTCTATTAAACGTGGCCTTAAAGAAACCAACAGCACAGTCGTGGAGTTTTTCTCTATCTGGGGCGTCCTCTAACGCCGTCAGTGGGTGTAGAAGTGGAATAAAGTTTTTGGGAGGATGCTGTAGTGAGACTGACTTTCAGATCAATCCCTGGTGGAGAGTAGACTTGTTAGCTATGCACAAGGTTACTGCTGTCAGTATCCTCAACAGACGCGGCTGGTTGTACTGAATGGCTTCGTGGCGCAGAGATCCGGATTGGCGACTCACTATCGAGCCATGGTACCGAAAACCCGAGGTGAGGCATGATATCTACAGTTGACTATATTTGTGCAGTAAACTATTACAAAGTGTTTCTTC